AAAGATAATGGAAAAATGAAAAATTGTGATATAAAATCAAGAAAATGAAAATTACAAAAACGGGAAAATGAAAATATCGAAAATCTGAAAAATATAGAAATTGAAAAATTCCCAAAATTGCGATGTTTAAAATTGAGATAGCGAAAACTTAAAAATCGAGAAATCGAAAATTCCAAAAATGGAAAAATTGAAACACATTAAAAAATTTAAATCGGGAAATCGAAACATAAAGATTATAAAAGGGAAAAATGAAAAATTTTAAAAATCGAAAATTTTGAAAATCGAAAAAGCAAGAAATCGAAATCGAAAACTTGAGACTTCAAAAGATCGAGAAATCGAAATAGACCGAAATCGGAAAATTCAAAATTGAAATATTTACTTAAAAAGAAGATAATAATTATAATTTTTAAAGTTGTTCACTTTTTCGGTTTTTCGTTTTTGGAATTTTTCAATTTTCCGGTGTTTGAATGTCACAGTTTTTGGACTTTACAATTTTCAAGATTCTATAATTTTTCGATTTTCCAATTTTTGGATTTTCCAATTTTTCAATTCGAATTGTTTTTCTTCTTTCCCATTCTTCGATTCATTAATTTTTTTTTAGATTTTTAAGTTTCTCGGTTTTTAGTTTTCCATTGTTTCAATTTTTCATTTTTTCGGGTTTTTAACTTTTCGAATAAACAAAATCGAAAAATTATAAAATAGGAAACTTGTAAAACTGAAAAAGTACAAAATGAAAGCTTCGAAATATAAAAAAAATGGAAATCAAGAACTGAAAAAATCAAAGATTGAAAATGGAAAAAATTGAAAAACAAAAAATTATAAAATCCAAAGAAACATTGAAACAATAAAGATAATGGAAAAATGAAAAATTGTGATATAAAATCAAGAAAATGAAAATTACAAAATCGGGAAAATGAAAATATCGAAAATCTGAAAAATATAGAAATTGAAAAATTCCCAAAATTGCGATGTTTAAAATTGAGATAGCGAAAACTTAAAAATCGAGAAATCGAAAATTCCAAAAACGGAAAAATTGAAACACATTAAAAAATTGAAATCCTGAAATCGAAACATAAAGATTATAAAAGGGAAAAATGAAAAATTTTAAAAATCGAAAATTTTGAAAATCGAAAAAGCAAGAAATGGAAATCGAAAACTTGAGACTTCAAAAGATCGAGAAGTCGAAATAGGCCGAAATCGGAAAATTCAAAATTGAAATATTTACTTAAAAAAAAGATAAACGGAAAAATCGAAAAACTCAAAAAAATCGATAAACAGAAAATTCCAAAAATCGAAAAATTGAAATACAGATTAAAAAGTTTAAAAAATCGAAGTTAAAAAATCGTAAAAACAAATTCCATTCCATTTTCCGTTTTATCGATTTTGCAATTTTTTGTTTCTTCAATTTTTTCCAATTTTTTAATTTTCCGATTTTTCAATTTTTCGCATTTTCTACTTTCCGAATAAACAAAATGGAAGAGTTATAAAATAGAAAAATTGTAAAATTGAAAACTCAAAATGAAAAAACGCAAAAGTATAAAATGAAGGCTTCGAGAAATCTAAAAACTTGAGAAATTGAAGAAACGGGAAATTCAAAAATCGAAAAATTAAAAATTGAGAAACTTAAAGATCGAAAACACGAAAATTATTGTAAAATCTAAATATTGAAAGTTGGAAAATCGAGGAATTGAAAATGTAAAAAATTGAATAAACGAAAAATTGTGATATCAAATCCAGAAAATGAAAATTAAAAAATCGGGAAAATGGTATAAAAAAAAAAACGATATTGTCGTTGAGTGACATGTAACTGGCATAATAATAAAAACGTGCCATTTTTTTGATAAATGTCGCAAAATTATTAAATTTGTCTAATCATCCCCACCAATAATGTGATGACGTCACTTCAAATTTATGCATAGTAAATGGGTTTTAAATTGTATACAGTAACATAGTCCTACACATGTAGTTTATGACTCCGTGTTGAATTTTTATCCGAAACGTCCAGATTTTTGGAAAAAAAATCAAAATTATAAAACAATATTTTGAAATTTAATTTTGAATTTGCAAAATTGAATACTTTGAAATCTCGCAGATGTTTTAAGTCATGATAAACATGATACATTTTTTATTTAAATATATTTGCTTATCCCCTCTAAAAAAATTATGACGTCACCTCAAAATTTTGCAGAATAAATCCTATCTTAAATGTAGAAAATATGATGAGTTTTTATACTTGTGATTTATCACTGCATTAACACTTTTTTAGATTTGGTTATACAGGGTGTCTCAAAAAAATTAATGACTGAGTCAATTTGTTTTATTGAAGAAATCAAGAATAGCAAAACTGAATACTTTGAAATATTGTAGATGTTTTAAAGTTTTTGTAAGCATGGTAACTTTTTCGAAAATTTGATTAATCAAATATGCGGCAAATCGAAAATCGGAAAAACTGAAATTCACTAATGCGAAAAACAGAAAATCGAAAATCTAAAAATGGATAACCAAAAAATCGAAAATTCAATTAATCAAATACCGAGGTTGATCGAAAAGTGGAAATTCACAAACCTCAAAAATCGAAAAATCGAAAATTGAAAAACGGAAAAACCAAAAAATCGAAAAGTCAAAAATTTGTAATACTGAAAATTAAAAAAATCAAAAACAAAAATTAAAAAAAATCGGAAATTAAAATAATCAAAGTATATAAAGTAGAAAAAATTGCAAAGCCTAAAAACTGAAACGAACAGAAAAATCGAAAAAGCAAAAAATTGGAAAAACAAAAATTCGAAAAATCTAAAATCGCAAAAGTGTAAAATCGAAAACCAAAAAATCGGAAAGAAACAAAATTGAAGTCTAAAAGGTGAGAATGGAAAAATTGAAAAACCGAAAATTCTAAAAATCGACAATGGACAAATTGAAAATCGCAAAATTTAAATTGAAAAATTGAACATAGAAAAATCGATGAGTTGAAAAATCGAAAATTCCACTACTCAAATTTTATAAAAATCGAAAAATCATAAAACCGAAATATCCAAAATTCTAATGGTCGAAAGTCTGAAAACTGAAAATCGAAAATTCTGAAAAGCGGAAAACAGAATATCGAAAAATTTAAAAGAAAGAAAATTGAAGTCTAAAAACCGAAGAATGGAAAAATTAAAAATCAAAAATTCGAAAAATCAAAACCGAAAAGTTCAAAGATTTAAAAAGGAAAATCGAAAAATCAAAAATCTGAAAATTGAAACTCGAAAATTCGGAAAATCGAAAAGTAAAAAAATTGAAGTCTAAAAGCTGAAGAATGGAAAACTGAACAATCGAAAATTCGAAAATCAAATATCGAAAAATCGAAAAGCCGAAAAATCGAAAATTTGATGAATCAGATATGCGAAAAACAGAAAATCTGAAAATACAAAACTGAAAAATCGAAAATCTAAAAATGGAAAAACCGAAAATCGAAAATTCAATGAATATAATACGTAGGTCGATCGAAAAACCGGAAATTCACAAATCTGAAAAATCGGAAATTTGCAAGATTGAAAAACCGAAAATTGAAAAATCAAAAAATCGAAAAATGGAAAATTCAAAAATCGAAAAATAGGAAAACAGAAAATTCGAAAATTCATAATATTGAAAACTCTAAAAGTCGACAATTCAAAAATCGAAAAATAAACAAATTTCAAAGCCTAAAAAGTGACGAACAAAAAAATCGAAAACTAGTAAAATCATAAAGTGGAAAATCGAAAACTGGAAATTGAAAAATCGGAGATTGGAAAATCGAAAATCGAAATATCGAGAATCGACAAATTAAAAAACCGAAAAATCGAAAAATTAAAAAATCGGAAATCGAAAAATGAAAAAAAAAACGAAAATTCAAAAATCGAATAATCCGAAACTAAAATAATAGAAAAGTGGAAAAGTACAAATTGCAAAGTCTAAAACTGACGAACAGAAAAATCGAATAATATCTAAAAATGGAAAAATCGAAATGCTCAAAAATCGAAAATTCGATTAATCAATATTCTAAAAATCGAAAAAACGGACACAAATCCACAAATCTGAAAAATCGAAAATCGAAATATCGAGACTCGAAAAATTAAAAAACCGAAAAATTGAAAAATCCCAAATCGAAAAATGAAAAAACCAAAAATTCAATAATCGAAAAATGGAAAAATAAAACAAATCGCAGAACCATAAAAACTGAAACAAACAGAAAAATCGAAAAACCACAAAATCGGAAAAACGAAAATCGAAAAATCGCAAATCGAAAAATCGTAAAATCAGAAAATGGAAAATCGAATACTCGAAAATTGAAAAATCGAGAATAGAAGAATTAAAAAACCGGAAAATTGAAAAATCGGAAATCGAAGAATTAAAAACGTAAAATCGAAAATTCAAAAATCAAAAAAATCGGAAAGTAAAATATAATCGAAAAATGCAAAAAAATTGCAGCAAAGTCTAAAAACTGACCAACAGAAAAATCAACAAATCGAAAAACGGAAAAACCGAAAACTCGAAAATTCAAAATACCGCAAATTTGAAAAATCAGAAAATGGGAAAGTAAAAAAATCGAAAAATTGATAGAAAAATGGAAACTGAAAAATCTAATTAAATGAAACGGTTGGTCGAAAAAACGAAAAATCGAAAATCGAAGTGATCTTTTTTTGAGACAGCCTGTATAAGTAAATCTAAAAAATATTACTACACTCATCATATCAAATTTTGCCATGACGTCATGCGTTCTATAAAAAAAAAAAATAGAAAATATCTAGTTTAACTGGATTTGCTGTGATGATTTTGGATTTCCTTTGTTTTCTTGTTGATTTCTCGTTAATTTCTCATTGATTTCCTCTTGATTTCCTTTTGATTTCCTTTGATTTCCTCTGATTCCCTTTTTGATTTCCTGTGATTTCCTGTGATTTTCTTTGATTTCCTCTAGCGTGTACAACTGATTTCCTCTGCAGTTTACCCCTCGGATAATAACGTGTTTTACGTCGGTGGGTTTGCAGCTCTATGACAATTTCCGAAACCTTAAGGGTCCAAGGGTCGGGCGAAGGCGCCGACGCCCAGTCTTCCAACCTCAAACCCAAACGAAAAAAGCGGAGCAAAACGGCCAAGAACAACAAGTGAAGGTGGGTTTTGGGGCGACTTGAACCTGAGTTTGGTTTTTCCAGGGTGGCACCCGTGGTGGAACCTCGGGGTTGTCGTTCGGCCAACGACCACTTGAACTCGGACGACAGCGAATCCCCGGACCCTCTGGAACCCTGGAGCACCAAGAAAATCGCCAACATGAACAAGATCCTGGCTTGGGAAAACGACCAAGACAGCATGTAAATGACAATTGACAAATAAAATTATTTTTGTGGTTCGTTTATCAAAATTCTTGTAAAATGAGTTACCGGGTGGAGTGGACCGCGTTCCTGCGGGAGCGCTACGAGCGCGAAGAGCTACACTTCAAAGTGTTTGATAACTATATTCCAGACTACAAAAGTAAGTCAAGGGGGCTATAACGACCACGTTTTTACGAATTTATAGAAACGTTGCTGACGACGAAGTTTTATTCCAAGTATGAGAACCAAAATACGGGGTGTGAGGCGGACCCCACGGTCATGCAAAACATTCAAAGGGTGAAATATGACACGCCACGGGAGAAATACGCGTGGCCTATAACAGAAAACCAATGGTTAGTATAATCATGTATCAATTAAAATGAAACAGTCGTAGTTATGGGTGGTTTCCGGAGCCCCTCGTTTCGCTCGACCGAAACGACACCAGGTTCCACCACCCCAAAAAGTCCACCGACTTCGTCAAACACGAGTTGCGCCTACAAATGGACGAATCCACCTTCCCGAAAGTAAAATTCACGGGAATTCCGTTCAAAGTTCAATAAAAGTTTGAAAAAACATAACCTCAAAAAAGCGAAATTTTACCCCGCACGTACGCACAAGCGCTCGATTACGTTAATAACACACAAATGCGACACACTTACCCCTTGTTACCCCCTAATAAAGACACAAACTCAATTTTGAGACAATTTTTCAAACTTGACACTAGCGCCACCAACCACCACTACCCAAACTATTTCTAACCTCAAAACAAAATGAAAATATAAACACACTTTTCGTTTGTAATATACAATTGCGTCAAACTTGCAAGATGTTGTCGCACACGACCGTCATACGTAACGCCCCCCAGCAAGACTTAATCAACGAGCTGCACACTTTCATCAAGGGGGCCCTCAAGCTGGAGCGCTGCAACCCGTTGGACTTGACCAAAACGGCGCTCAGACTGTTGAAGAACATTCCCGCGGCAAGAGCGGCTTTGTTCGAGTACTTTAGCAACGTTTTTGGGGCCGCAGCCACCAATTATATCCAAGCGATCGAAGTAAGTGGTTTTTAGTCCCTCTTTTATATTTTTTTTTTTGTGTTTAAGACGGAAATCAAAACCGGCGAACTGCCTAGTCACTCAGAGACCGACGAAGCCGTGGTGACTGAAATCCACTCAGTGCTTGTGGGTTTCATCGCGGATAACCCGACCGCGTGGGCCCCCATTGTGAGTACGTGGTCGCTGGAGTTGTTAGGGGAGATTTCGACGAAGTTTGCAGGCCGGGCGCACCTATCCACGAGTACGACACGCATAACCACCATAAAACCAAAAATTGTTAATTTGGTTTTTCAGATTTAAATGAAACTCTTCAATTGTGGATGAATTGTCGCGCTACCAAGATTCTTGTCGATATTAACACTAAGTGTTTGTCGAGTTTGATGCACTCGGATACCGAGACGTGCATTAACGCGCTTCTGGAGACGTCCATCAAGCATTCGCCGAATTTCGACTGGGTGGTAGCCCATGTGGGTAGTTGTTTTCCGCATACCGTAATCACTAGGGTGTTATCAGTCGGTTTAAAAGATTTCTGCCAGATTAAGTCCTACGAACAGGGGAGTAATTCCCCGAAACTTAGGTCGGTTGTCGGGATTTTAGGGCACTTGGCGGGGAGTCACAGTAACGACATCAGGTCCGCCATTTTGGAAATGTTTCTGGTAAGTGTGAATAATTAGTGGGTCGTGGTATAAAACTGGGCTTGCAGTGGAGTCTCCAACAAGAAAATCAAGACGTTGATGCCACAAAACTACAAAAAAAAGCCACAGTGCCTTTTATTTTACAGTTGGCATTCCTGTCTTCCACGTTGTTTTCGTCAGTTTGTAACGACATGAAGCGCATACGTGAGTTGCCAACTTAAAATCGTAGTCAACTCAAGTACCAAATCTTTTCTAGTGTCTGTTGATATAATTTACAAACTATGCCCTTTCGTCGAAGACTGGTGCAAATATTTTGGTTCAAACGAAATTCTAGAAGATCTTTTACTGACTTTAATCGCTAGCTGCGATAACGGGGGTATTCAAATCATCAACGTGTTACTAGACTGTATTACGGTTGAGCACCATCTGAACGACCCTCTAATCCAATCAATTAAAGAAAAGTCGCTCGAAATTTTGCGTAAGCGCTTGTCGCTTGTTTGTTACAATTTTTGATTTTCGGTTTTAGAAAATGTGGTCTACAGAGTAGACGAAAGCGTCCGAACCGACAAAAACATCGAACTTTTAACTTCGTTCGCGCACGATCTGGACGAAGTGCACAAGAATTTGCTAAGTCTGGTGGAAGTGCGATCCCAAACCGCCGCCCAAATCGTCGTTTTCCTAGGCCACGGCAATCCCTCCTTACTGGTTCGCTCTTTAAGTTTCCTCTTCCAGAATTCTCAAACTTCACAGCATTTAAGTTTGTTAGTTAAGATTTTGACGCACGAGCTTATAAATAAAACCGTGTGGCCGTACGTCGACAAAAGCGGGTATTTTTCAGTCGTTTTGGAGCAAATACTTAGTAAAAATATCGAGGCACAGGTGAACAAAAACGGTGACAATTTGACTCAAATGTGGAACAATTTATTGACCTTGTTGAAGTAAGTTTAGTTGCTCGTTAGTATTATTTTTGTTGTTATTGGTTTATAGGTGGGAGAAAAGCGGCCGCGTTTCGTTGTTAAACTCGCAAATTGTTACAAAAGCGATTTTAACGAATTTAACGCACTTTACTGCCGTTTTTGGAAACGAAACTCTGCATGTCCACGTTATGTCAAATATTTTGACAGACTTGGACATTCCGGTTAGTAGCAACATGGACAATTTGCCTGCAGAAGTCATTCTAAACCTGACTCAAGCAACTGTCAATTACTTTTTTATTTGTTGTCATGAAGAAGGCACCTCGCAGAAAGCCAAAGGTTTCGAGAGGATTAATCGCCTTCTGCGCAGACTCTGTACGCATTCGAAGGTGGCCAGGGTTTTAGCTTTGCGTGAACTGCTAGAGAGGGCGCTGTTCCGCAAAGACAACGTGCTTTTCGGCGCCAAAAACAACGGCACGTTTGACGAAAGTTCAGAGAAGTTGTTACTCAAACAAAACAAAAAAATCGTAAGTGTAAAAAAAAATTATTTTGTTGTACGAATTTGGGGTTCCAGAATAAAACTATCCCTCTAACCAAACACTCGTCGGTCTTCAATGGAGGTATTATTGGAACTGGTAAAAGAAAGCTTCATTGTTTGAACGACCTACCACCCGAAGTAGTCGCTGCTAACACCTCCGAGCTCGTAAACGCCATCAAGTCTTGTTGTTCTTTAAGCGAAGAACTCGAAATGAAGTTCTGCGACTTGTCCCTAGATAGCGTGACTTTAGTGTCGCTTTTATTAGTCCAGTTCGTCAGTCCTGACGTAATGTACAACGGTCTTCCATGGCCTGATGAAGAATTTTCCAAGGTCACCATCGAGCGCGACCTCTTCATCAGACGCATGTTCACCAACGTCCCAGTGCTATGGGACTTGCTAAGTTTCGTCGCTGTGTACAGACCGGCTCTTTGCTACTGTTCTGTGTTAATGCGGGCTTTAACCGCTACTCTGATCCACCAATGGAAGAGTACCGGCGAACAAAGCAAGTCGAACTTCACCGACAACTACAAATCCTTGATGACGACTACAGTGAAAGTCATCGACGTGATGGCGCTGGGACAGTTGTTGCCGCCCCCGTTGTGCAGCATCAGAGACGTGTTGCCGAATTTGAAGTGCTTCGAGGTGAGTCGCTCACCAAAGTGACTTAAGTCATCGAGTGTTGCAGATCGTGGCCATCCTGAAAGACTGCATTTGGACGTACATGAGGGACCACATACCGTCGCCTGCTCTGTTCGTCGGGGACGCGAACGGCATCCACTGGAGAGACCCCACGTCGTCGAGACCCGCGGAGGTCTACACCAACACCCTGCGGATCATCATGCAACGGAACATCGACACGTTGGGACACATGTATGCGCAAATGTTTATTAATATACCGAAACTAGAGTAAATAAATGAGAAGGTTTGAGCACTTTTTATTTATAAATATGTAAATTAACGCTTATCCATTAAGCTTTATAAAATTTACATGGTATCACAATACACACAGGGTTAAAACTATTAAAGCTCTGTAATCACTAATAACACGATTTGATTAAGGGGGCTGTGAAAGCAAAATGTAGAAGGCACAAAAACCAAAAAAAAAAAAAACTGTCAAAATAAAACTTGCTGCTGACGTTGCTTTTAGAGCTGAAAATTGTCACTTATAAACTCCGTGCCAAGTTGTCGTTGATAGTAAATTTGATGTTCAAGGTTGTAAAAGAAAAGTGGCGGATTTAACTTGATTACTACAAAATTTTACGATTTTAGACATGTCTTAAGTTTCTTGTTGTCGAATAAATCTGCATATATTAAGAAAACAAGGCAAAATGTCAGCCCGCCCACCCACCCTGTCTCAATTGTGACGATTTTTTTATTCGTCGAGAGCCAAGAGGGCAGAGCTTAACTGCAAAATCCATACGTCCTTACAAAACAAATTACCATTTTAAACGTGTTTTAAGCTTCTCAGAATAAATAAATCGTCACAATTGAGATTTTAGATTTTTTAGATTTAGATACTCAAAAACATGTTTTTAATTCCTTGTAAAAAAAATAGGTATTTTGCAGTTAAGTTCCGCACTCTTGGTCCACAGTGCATAAAAAAAATCATCACAATAGAGATCGAGCGGGTGGGCGGGCTTACATTTTGTTTTTTTGTTTTAATATGTGTAAACTTCTTTTCACATGAAACTTATAACATGTTTAAAATGGAAAATTTGTACAAGGAAATATCGATTTTGCAATTAGGCTCCGCACCATAATTGAAAAATCCATATTTCCTTGCAAAAATGTACCATTTTAACCATGTTTTAAATTTCTTGTTGTGCAAAGATGGGTATGCATATTAAGAAAAAAAGGCAAAATATAAGCCCCACCCACCCACCCACCCAATCTCAATTCTGATGATTTTTTTTTATTCGTCGTAAGCCGAGGGGTGGAGTTTAATTTTAAAATCTTTATTTTTCCACGAGAAATTGCCATGTGAAATATGTTTTTAAGTAATGCTGTCATACAAAGACAACTGAAGGTATTAATTAAAAAAGAAAACTAAAAGAGAAGCCCCACCCATCCGGATCTCAATCGTGATGAATTTTCCATTCGTTGTCAGACCGAGGGGCGGAGCATAATTACAAAATCGATATTTCCCTATACAAATTTACCATCTTAAACATGTTTTAAGTTTCTTGTTGTGAAAAGATGACTGCACATATTAAGCAAAATAGCGAAATATAAGCCCCGCCCACCCGCCCTATCTCAATTGTGAGTATCCTTTTTTTTTTTATTCGTCGAGAGCCAAAGGAACGGAATTTAATTGCATATTTCCTTAACAAAAATTTACCATTTTAAACGTATTTTTAAGTTTCTAAAAAAAATTAATAATGTAAGGCTTTTCAATAATTATTTTTTATTTGTTTTTTGATTTTGCAACTTTTTACTTTTAGATTTTCTGATTCTTTATTTTTCGAGTTTTCTATTTTTCAATTTTTACATTCTACAAGTTTTACTATTTATCTTAATTTTCAACTTTTCCACTCTTTAGTTTTCCAAATTTTCATTTTTTTAAGTTCTCAATTTTGATTTTGAATTTTTGATTTCTCCATTTTAGAATTTTTAATTTTTCGACTTTCGATACACAATTAAGATGGGGTGGGTGGGCGGGGTTTAAATTTTGTATTTTTTTCTTAATATACGTAGTATTCTTTGAACAACACGATACTCAAAAACATGTTTTTAATTTTTTGTAAAGAAATAAGTATTTTGCAGTTAAGCTTTGCCCCCTTGGTTCACGGCGAATAAAAAAAATCACCACAATAGAGATAGGGTGGGTGGGCGGGCTTACACTTTGCCTTTTTGTTTTAAGTTTTTTTTAACCATGTTTTAAGTTTCTTGTTGTGAAAAGATGGCTATTTATATTAAGAAAAAAAAAAGGCAATATATAAGCCCCGCCCACCCACCTTTCCTCAATTCTGATGATTTTTTTTTATTTGTCGTAAGCTTGATTGTAAAATCGTTATTTTTCTACGAGAATACTATTATATTCTATACAAATTTACCATTTTAAACATATTTTACGTTTCTTGTTGTAGAAATAAATCTACAAATATTAAGAAAAAAAAGGCAAAATGTAGCCCCGCCCACCCACCCTAACTCAATTGTGATGATTTTTTTATTCGCCGTGAGCCAAGGAGGCGGAGCTTAACTGCAAAATTCTTATTTCTCTACAAGAAATTAAAAACATGTTTTTAAGTATCGTGTTGTACAAAGAATAATATGTATATTAAAAAAAGAAACAAAGCCAAAGATTAGGGTCCACCCATATCCGCCCCGATCTCAATTCTCATTTGTTACCAACTTTTCATTCGTTGTCAGATCGAGGAGTGGAGCTTAATAACAAGATCCATATGTGTCTAAAAAGACGACTGCGTATATTACGAAAAACGGCAAAATATAAGCCCCGCCCGCCCACCCTATCTCAATTGCGGTGATTTTTCTTATTGGTTGTGAGTTAAGGGGCGGAGCTTAACTGCAAAATCCATATTTCCTTATAAAAATTTACCCTTTTAAACGTATTTAAAGTTTCTCAGAATAAAAAAAAATTATCATAATTGAGATGGGGTGGGTGGGCGGGGTTTAATAACGAAATAAGTATTTTGTAGTTAAATTCCGCCCCTTTGGTTAACGATGAATACAAAAAATCATCACGATAGAGATGGGGCGGGTGGGCGGGCTAACATTTTTAATTTTTTTTTTTATATTGTGTAGACTTTTTTCATAACATCAAACTTAAACATGTTTAAAATGGAAAATTTGTATAAGGAAATATCGATTAGGTTCAACCCCATAATTGCAAAATCCATATTTCCTTGCAAAAGTGTACCATTTTAACCTGTTTTATGTTTCTTGTTGTGAAAAGTTGGCAATGTATATTAAGAAAGAAAGAAGACAAAATATAAGCCCCGCCCACCCGCCCTGTGTCAATTCTGATGATTTTTTTATTCGTCGTAAGCCGAGGTGTGGAGTGGAATCGTGATTAATTTTTCATTTGTTGTCACACCAAGGGGCGGGGCAGAGCGGAATTGCCAAATCCATATTTTTCTGTACCAATTTACCATTTTAAGCATATTTTAAGTTTCTCGTTGTCGAAATAAGTTTACAAATATTCAGAAAAAAAGGCAAAATGTAGCCCCGCCAACCCGCCCTATCTCAGTTGTGATGATTTTTTTATTCGTCATGAGCGAAAGGGGCAGACCTTAACTGCAAGATCCGTATTTGTCTACAAGAATTTACCATTTTAAACATGTTTTAAGTTTCTTGTTCTGAAAAGACGACTACGAATATTACGAAAAAGGCAAAATATAACCCCCGCCCACCCACCCTTCCTCAATTCTGATGATTTTTTTATTTGTCGTAAGCTTAATTGTAAAATCCTTATTTTTCTACGAGACTACTATATTCATTTTAAACATATTTTACGTTTCTTGTTGTAGAAATAAATCTACAAATACTAAGAAAAAAAAGGCAAAATGTAGCCCCGCCCACCCACCCTGTCTCAATTGTGACGATTTTTTTATTCGTCGTGAGCCAACGGGGTGGAATTTAACTGCAAAATTCTTATTTCTCTACGAGAAATTAAAAACATGTTTTTGAGTATCGTGTTGTTCAAAAAAATTTTTCATTCGTTGTCAGATGGAGGGGTGGAGCTTAATGACAAGATCCATGTGTCTGAAAAGACGACTACGTATGTTACGGAAAAAGGCAAAATATAAGCCCCGCCCACCCACCCTATCTCAATTGTGATGATTTTTTTTATTCATCGTGAGTTAAGGGGGCGGAGCTTAACTGCAAAATCCATATTTCCTTATAAAAATTTACCATTTTAAACGGATTTTAAGTTTTTCAGAATAAAGAAAACCATCACAATTGAGACAGGGTGGGTGGGCGGGCTTACATTTTCCCTTTTTGTTTTAATATATATGTAGACTTTTTTTCACAATATGAAACTTAAACATGTTTAAAATGGAAAATTTGTATAAGGAAATATCGATTAGGCTCAACCCCATAATTGCTAAATCCATATTTCCTTGCAAAAATGTATCATTTTAACCGTGTTTTAAGTGTCTTGTTATTTCAATTTTTCAATTTTTGGAGTTGATAATGATTTTTTTAATTTTTCGATTTCTCAATTTTTCGACTTTTTGATTTTTAGTTTTTCCGATTTCGCGATTTTTCAAATTTTCAATGTTTATTAAGTTTTAGGATTTCTCAATTTTGGGATTTTTCAATATGTATTTCGATTTTTCAAGTTTTCAATTTTGCCGTTTCTAAATTTTTGGATTTTTCGACTTCACAATTTTTCGACTTTTTGATTTTTCGACTTGCCGATTTCGCGATTTTTCAAATTTTCAATGTTTAAAGATTTGGGATATTTCAATTTTAGGATTTTTCAATATGTATTTCGATTTTTAATTTTTCGATTTTCTTAGTTTTCAATTTTTGGCGTTTCTAAATTTTTGGAGTTTTCGATTTCTCAATTTTTCGACTTTTTGATTTTTCGTCTTTCCGATTTCGCGATTTTTCTAATTTTTAACGTTTATTAAGTTTTGGGATTTTTCAATATGATTCGATTTTTCAATTTTCAGTTTTTGGCGTTTCTAAATTTTTGGATTTTTTGATTTCTCAAATTTGCGATGTTTTATTAAGTTTTGGGATTTTTCAATTTTGGAATTTTTCAATACGTATTTTGAGTTTTGAATTTTTCTATTTTTCAAGTTTTCAAGTTTTGGCGTTTCTAAACTTTTGGAGTTTTCCATTCAATTTTTCGACTTTGCGAATTTGTCGATTTTTCAAATTTTCAATGTTCATTAAGTTTTGGGACATTTCAATTTTAGGATTGTTCAAGATGTATTTCGATTTTTAAATTCCACGATTTTTCAATTTTTCAATTTTTGGCGTTTCTAAATTTTTGGATTTTTCCATTTCTCAATTTTTCGACTTTTTCATTTTTCGTCTTTCCGATTTCGCGATTTTTCAAATTTTTAACGTTTATTAAGTTTTGGGATTTTTCAATTTTAGGATTTTTAAATATGTATTTCGATTTTTCAATTTTTGAGTTTTTGACGTTTCTATATTTTTGGATTTTTCGATTTCTCAATTTTTCGTCTTTCCGAATTCGCGATTTTTTAAATTTTCAATCTTTATTAAGTTTTGGGAATTTTCTATTTTGGGATTTTTCAATATGTATTTCGAATCGAAATAATAAACATTGAAAATTTGAAAAATCGCGAAATCGGAAAGACGAAAAATCAGAAAGTCGAAAAATTGAGAAATCGAAAAATCCAAAAATTTAGAAACGCCAAAGATTGAAAAATTTGAAAATCGAAAATTTAAATTTGTTGATATTTTGATTGTCCGTTTTTTAAATTTTCAATTTTTCGAATTTTTAAATTTTAGATTTTTCACTTTTTTGTTATTGCGATTTTTCAATTTTCGATTTTTCGCCGTCTAATTTTTAGATCGTCGTTTTTATACCAACATACGACCACTGATTTGTGTTGCGTCCGCCTATATTTAATAATAATAAAATGAAAATTGCCACAATAACATCGACTTACCCAAAATAATATTCGTGAAAAGATGGCTATGTATATTAAAAAAAAGGCAAAATATAAGCCCCACCCACCCGTCCTATCTCAATTCTGGTAATTTTTTTTATTCCTTGTAAGTTGAGGGGCGGAGCTTAATTGCAAAATCCTTATTTCTCCACAAAAAATAAAAACATGTTTTTACGTATCGTGTTGTTGAAAGAATACTATGTATATTAAAAAAAAAGCCAAAAATTAAGCCCCACCCATATCCATCCCAAGCTCAATTTTTCATTCGTTGTCAGAGCGAGGGGCGGAGCCTAATTGCAAAATTGATACTTTCCTAGAAAAATTGGTGGACCTCATTATCTCTATCAAAATTTGCAACGTCAGCGACAAGCTTATAAATCGACCTTTTAGTCGTGCACAAGCAAAATCGCAAATACAAGATGCGCCGATAGGTGGCGCTGTTGTCACAAAAATGAAATGTCGAACGTGTGTTAGTGTCAAATGAAAAATGTAGTTACCGACTCCGCACCAGATGTCGCTTCACAACACAATTAAAAAAATACTTGAGTTTATTTGGACAACGATTTCCGGGTTTGTACATTTTGCTTTCATCGAACCCGTGACACTTATAAACGTGTTATATGATTTCGAAGCAAGCACCTAGTGCCATTTTAGCCATTCACAATTGTCGCAGATTGCAGTGCAAGCGCTTGAACTGCTTATCGGTCAAAAACTCCCATCTGTGACCCATCATCTGACTGATTTCCTTCTGCACGAGTTCGTACGACCTACTATTAATCTTAAGCCAAGTGTAAAACTCGTCGCTCCATTCCGGGCTTTGTGGCCAGTCGCACCGGATTATGACCGCGTTGCCCCGTATAAACAAATATTTCAGATTACGGGCTGTGTAAGCCAGAAGGAGAGCAGTAGCGGTGGAAATCCGCTCCGTAACCACCTTGAAAACTAAAGTTAAGTGGGTTAAAGCGACTTAAGACTTACCAGCGTGGTTAAGTAGTAACACTGGCGCACTAGGTACATCAAACACCCGTCGACTCGTTCATCGAACGACTTGCTTCTGTGAAACCGGGGGATGTTCTTGTGCCCGAAAACCCTCAACGTGTCTTTGTAGAATTCGACAGCGGTCATCACAGAGTCTTCTCGGACTTTGATGTGGGGCGAGTCGTACAGGATAGAACTCACTGGCGCCCCTTGTTGCCATATAAGCGGTTTTTCTTTCAAAGTTTCAATCTGCAAGTGCACTCGAAACGTCGGGTTGTTTTTCCTAGCACTTTTCCACGTTTTGTACCCAACCGGTTTTATATTAATATCGTTCGGGGTGTATCTGTTTTGTAAAATGTGTATATGTTGTATGTTGGTGTGACTGAGAAGCTCGATGACGTCGTCGCTGAGGTTCTGCGGACTGATGTATAAAACCTACAATTAAGCGCGTAGTGTATTTTTAGAGTTGTTTATCAACAAAACTTCTAGAACTTCGATTTTTAAAAATAATTCGGTGTTTACCTGCAAGTTTAAGAAAACCCCGACGTGGAACAACTCGTACTGGACTCGAGTTGTGTTAATTACTGAAAGCGTCTGCAACGTAGTGCAGCATTTTTCGCACACTTCGTCTAAAAGAAACTGGGCTTCTTTGGGGTCCAGCATTAAGTCGATTAGTTCGAGACGTTTCAGTTTTTTCAGATTGGACATGAGTCGTTTGAGGGCGGCAAGCAATTTTCCGCCGGTTCCAAACAGACGGATTCTTTCAGTGTCGTCTCGGTTTGTCATATTACACGGAAACGTGAACTTTAGGGTGTGTATATTTCTGCCAGCTTCGAACTCCGGGTTGGTGTTGCTGATGGCTTGTTGCTCAGTGCACCACGAAATCATGTTCATGAATTCGTACAAATTGTAAAAATTGAGCATGGGCTCGAACGTTAATTGGCGGAAATTTCGGCCGACTTGAGACAGACATGATTGGGTACGCAAGTGGTCCAAAACGTACTGCAATTAAATTATAATAGTCAACTTATTGTATTAAAAATTATTGTATAAAGGCATTGTTTAAGTATAGTATAGTTGGACAACCTGTACGGACAATCACTTTCCCATGTAGAAAAGAATGAATATATATTTTACATCTCACTCACAAAATCAAAAGACAAAAAAATCGAGGAGTCGAAAAATCGAGAAGTCGAAAAATCAAAAAATTGATAAAGCGAGAGATTGAATAATCAAAACATCGAAACATCCGAATCTCAATAAATTGAAATCTCAAAAAATTTAAAAATTCGGAAATTTGAAGAATTAAAATATAGAACTGGAAACTCGGGAAACCGAAAAATCTAGAAATTTAAAAACTAAAATATGGAAAATTTGAAAAATTGAGAAATTGAAATATAAAACAATCGAAACATTGAAAAATCTAAAGTATAAAAAACAAAAAACTGAAAATCTAAAAATAAAAAATAGAAAAATCTAGAAGTCGAAAAATCAAAGAATCGAAGTATTGAAAAATATCAAAACTGAAAGAAATATCCAAAAATTGAGAAATCGAAAAACCAATAAAGCGAAGTCGAAAAATCGAAGAATTGAAGAACTGAAAAATCGAAACTTTGAGAAGTGGGAAAATCAAAAATAGATTAATTGATAAATCAGAAAATTGAAAATTTAACGCAAAAATTTGAAAAATTGAAAAATTTAAATACTGAAGAACTGAAAAGTCAAAAAATCGAGAAATCGAAAACTCTAAAATTTAAAACATTGAATAATTAAAATATCGCAAAATTGAAGAATCTAGAAATCCAATTCAATTTGAAAAATTGAAAAATCGGGACATTGAAAAATTGGAAAATCCAAAAATTGAAAAGCTCCAAAGAAAAAAATCTAAAAACCGAGAAATCCAAAAATCGAAACATCGAAAAATTCAAAAACTGAGACTTCGAGAAATCGAAAAATCGGAGGATCGAGAAATTGAGGAGTCGGAAGCCGAAAAGGAAAGTTAAAAATTGAAAAATTGAGAAATTGAACAATCAAAACAACGAAACATCTGAATTCGATAAATTGAGAAATTAAAAAATTGAATAATCGAAAAATTTTAAAAAAGAAAAACAGGAAAATCGAAAATTAAAATTCAAAAAATCGAAAAACTGAAAAATTGAAATATAGAAGAATTGAAAACTCGAGATATCGAAAAACCTAGAATTTTAAAAAATGAAATATTAAAACATCGAAAACTTGAAAAATTGAGAAATCGAAGCATTAAACAGTCGCAGAATTGAAAAATCTAAAGTTTACAATAAGCTGAAAATCCAAAAAGTAAAAAATCGAGAAATCAAAAAAATCCATCAATTCAAAAATCGAAAAGTCGAAAAATTGAAATAATGAAAAACCTCCCAACTGAAAGAAATATTCAAAAAATTGAGAAATTAAAAAATTGGAAAATTGAGAAATCGAAAATCTAAAAAAACAAAATTGAAAAATCGTAATCTTAAAAAATCGAAAAATTGAAGAATTGAAGATGTGAAAAATCGAAACTTTAGAAAGTCCAGAAATGGACAAATAAAAAAAAATACTTTAGAAATCGGCAAACTGAAAATTTAGAAACGTGAAAATTTGAAAAATTGAAAAATCGAAATATTTGTCATTTTGTCAAATTTTCGATTTTTCAATTAATCGGTGTTTTGATTTTCCTATTTCTTGACCTTCGAGTCTTTCGATATTCCTGTTCTTTAATTCTTTAATTTTTCGATTTTTCAGGTTTTTGATTTTTTATGTTTTAATTTTTTTAAGGTTTCAATTTTTCGACTTCACTTTTTGGATTTTTCTATTGCTCAATTTTTCGACTTTTTAGCTTCTCAGTTTTTGGATATTTCAGTTTTCAGATTTTTCAGGTTTTCCAGTTTTCAGTTTTTCGATATTTCAGTTTTGGGGTTTTTCAATATTTTGATTCTTCGATTTTTGGCTTCTGGAGTTTCCGATGTGTCGATTTTTTTACTTTTTCGATTTTTCAATTTTTCGATTGCTTAATCTTTCGATTTTTCGACTTCCCGGTTTTAGATTTTCTGTTTTCAATTGTCGTTTTAAATTTTTCGATTTTTGGATATTTTGATTTCCCGATTTAGTTTCCCATTTTTAGTTTTTCTTTCATTTTCAGTTTTTCGATATTTCAGTTTTGGGATTTTTCAATATTTCGACTTTTCGATATTTGACTCCTGGATTTTTCGATGTGGCGATTTTTTTACTTTTTCGATTTTTAAATTTTAGATTTTTTAATTTTTCAAATTTTCGATTTTTCATTTCAGTTCTTCCATATTTCAATTTTTCAAATTTTCGAATTTTTCCAAGTTTCGATTTCTTAATCTTTTGATTTTTCGACTTCCCGGTTTTAGATTTTCTGTTTTTCAATTTTCGATTTTTTAATTTTTCAAATTTAACTTTTATAAACACTCAATTTTTCGATTTTTGAATCAATCGATGTTTTGATTTTCCCATTTCTTGACCTTCGAATGTTTCGATTTTCCTGTTCTTCAATTCTTTAATTTTTTGATTTTTCAATTTTTCGATTTTTTTAAGGTTTCTGTTTTTCGACTTTACTTTTTTAATTTTTCAGTTTTAGAATTTTTCAATATTTCAATTCTTCGGCTTTTCTATTTTTGACTTCTGGGTTTTTCGATGTGTCAACCTTTTTACTTTTTCGATTTTTCAATTTTTGGATTTTTAAATTTTAGATTTTTCAATCTTTTGATATTTTAATTTTTCAATATTTCTTAATCTTTCTATTTTTCGACTTCCCGGTTTTAGATTTTCTGTTTTTCAATTGTCATTTTGTCAAATTTTCGATTTTTAATTTTTCAAATTTGACTTTTATAAACTCTCAATTTTTCGATTTTTCAATTAATCGATGTTTTGATTTTCCCATTTCTTGACCTTCGAGTATTTCGATTTTCCTGTTCTTCAGTTCTTTAATTTTTTTATTTTTCAAGTTTTTAATTTTTCAATTTTTCGATTTTTTAAGGTTTCTATTTTTCGACTTCACTCTTTTGATTTTTCAGTTTTTAGATATTTCAGTTTTAGGATTTTTCAATATTTCAATTCTTCGGCTTTTCTATTTTTGACTTCTGGGTTTTTCGATGTGTCAACCTTTCTACTTTTTCGATTTTCAATTTTTGGATTTTTGAATTTATCAGTTTTTCAATTTTTTATTTTGGCCAATTTCGCTTTCTCAGTTTTTTCCAGTTTTCCATTTTTTCGTTTTTGGTTTTTTCCGCTTTTCCAATTTTTCAACTTTTAACTTTTTGTTTGTCGGTTTCTCAATTGTTCGACTTTTCAACTCCACCATTTCTTGATCTTTTGATTTTTCGATTTCTCAGTTTTTCGATTTTCCAGTTATCCGATTTTTTAAATTTGGGAGTTTCGATTTTTCGTTATTGGGTTTTTAAATTTTTATTGGTATCGACTATTTAATTTAAATTTGGCGCTTTCGGACTCCAATGTCAATACGGGTGGTTTTGATTTTCCCATTTCTTGACCTTCGAGTGTTTCGATTTTCCTGTTCTTCAGTTCTTTAATTTTTTTATTTTTCAAGTTTTTAATTTTTCAATTTTTCGATTTTTTAAGGTTTCTATTTTTCGACTTCAATCTTTTGATTTTTCAGTTTTTAGATATTTCAGTTTTAGGATTTTTCAATATTTCAATTCTTCGGCTTTTCTATTTTTGACTTCTGGGTTTTTCGAAAAATCTAAAATTTAAAACATTGAAAAGTTAAAATATCCTAAAACTGAAAAATGGAGAAATCCAAACATCAAAAATTCAAAAAAATAAAAATTCGAAAATCTAAAATTTAAAAATCGAAAACCTGAAAAATCAACGAATCGAGAAGGGGAAAATTTAAAAAATTGGAAAATTGAAAAATCGGATAAATCAAAAATCTAAACATCGAAAAATCGAGAAAGCGAAAAGCAGAAATCGAAAAACCAACAAATCGAAAAATCGAAACATTGTAAAATTCAAAAATTGAGAGATCGAGAAATCGAAAAATCAAAAGACAAAAAAATCGAGGAGTCGAAAAATCGAGAAGTCGAAAAATCAAAAAATTGAAAACTTAAATATGGAAAAATTGATAAAGCGAGAGATTGAATAATCAAAACATCGAAACATCCGAATCTCAATAAATTGAAATCTCAAAAAATTTAAAAATTCGGAAATTTGAAGAATTAAAATATAGAACTGGAAACTCAGAAACCGAAAAATCTAGAAATTTAAAAATTAAAATATGGAAAATTTGAAAAATTGAGAAATTGAAATATAAAACAATCGAAACATTGAAAAATCTAAAGTATAAAAAACAAAAAACTGAAAATCCAAAAATAAAAAATAGAAAAATCTAGAAGTCGAAAAATCAAAGAATCGAAGTATTGAAAAATATCAAAACTGAAAGAAATATCCAAAAATTGAGAAATCGACAAATCAATAAAGCGAAGTCGAAAAATCGAAGAATTGAAGAACTGAAAAATGGAAACTGGGAAGTGGGAAAATCAAAAATAGATTAATTGATAAATCAGAAAATTGAAAATTTAACGCAAAAATTTGAAAAATTGAAAAATTTAAATACTGAAGAACTGAAAAGTCAAAAAATCGAGACATCGAAAACCCTAAAATCTAAAACATTGAATAATTAAAATATCGCAAAATTGAAGAATCTAGAAAAATCGGGACATTGAAAAATTGGATAATCCAAAAATTTAAAAGCTCCAAAGAAAAAAATCTAAAAACCGAGAAATCCAAAAATCGAAACATCGGAGGATCGAGAAATTGAGGAGTCGGAAGCCGAAAAGGAAAGTTAAAAATTGAAAAATTGAGAAATTGAACAATCAAAACAACGAAACATCTGAATTCGATAAATTGAGAAATTAAAAAATTGAATAATCGAAATGTTTTAAAAAAGAAAAACAGGAAAATTGAAATATAGAAGAATTGAAAACTCGAGATATCGAAAAACCTAGAAATTTAAAAAATGGAATATTAAAACATCGAAAAGTTGAAAAATTGAGAAATCGAAGCATTAAACAGTCGCAGAATTGAAAAATCTGAAGTTTACAATAAATTGAAAATCCAAAAAGTAAAAAATCGAGAAATGAAAAAAAATCCATCAATTCAAAAATCGAAAAGTCGAAAAATTTAAATATTGAAAAATCTCATAACTGAAAGAAATATTCAAAAAATTGAGAAATTAAAAAATTGGAAAATTGAGAAATCGAAAATCTAAAAAAGCAAAATTGAAAAATCGTAATCTTAAAAAATCGAAAAATTGAAGAATTGAAGATGTGAAAAATCGAAACTTTAGGAAGTCCAGAAATGGACAAATAAAAAAAAATACTTTAGAAATCGGCAAACTGAAAATTTAGAAACGTGAAAATTTGAAAAATTGAAAAATCGAAATATTTAAAAACCGTAAAATTGAAGAGGACAAAAATTGAGAAATCGTATCATTGAAACATCGTAAAATCGAGAAATCGAAACATAAAAAAATCAAAAAAATTAAAATTGGAAAATCTAAAATTTAAAAATCGAGAAATTGAACAATCGGTTAATTCAAAAATCGAAACATCGAAAAATTGGAAAATCGAAAAATAAAAAAAAATTGGACAATCGAAAATTTAAAAAATCCGAAAATTGAAAAATTGAAATATAGAGAACTGAAAACTCAAAATATCGAAAAAAATTAATAATTTCAAAAATTGAAAAGTTAAAATTGAGAAATCGAAAAACTGAAAAATCACAAAATTGAACGAAAAATCAAAAAATTAGGAAATTAAAAAATTGAGAAACAAAAAAGGCAAAAAAGCAGAGTCCAAAAATCGCAAACTTAAAAAATCGAAAAATTGAAAAATCAAAAACCTGAATAATCGAAAAATTGAAGAACTGAAGAACTGAAAAATCGAAACTTTAGGAAGTGGAGAAATGGGAATATAAAAAAATAGATTAATTGAGAAATCCGAAAACTAAAAATTCAGAAACGTCAAAATTTGAAAAATAAAAAAATATTGAAGAACTAAAAAATCGAAAAATGTAAAATTTAAAACACTGAAAAGTTAAAATATCCCAAAACTGAAAAATGGAGAAATCCCAACATCAAAAAATCAAAAATAAAAATAAAAATAAAAATCTAAAATTTAATAATCGAAAAACTGAAAAATCAACGAATCGAGAAGTCGAGAATTTAAAAAATTGGACAATTGAAAAATCGGATAAATCAAAAATCGAAACATCGAAAAATCGAGAAACCGAAAAGCAAAAAATCTAAAAACCAACAAACCGAAAAATCGAAACATTGTAAAATTCAAAAATTGAGACATCGAGAAATCGAGAAATCAAAAGACAAAAAAAATCGAGGAGTCGAAAAATCGAGAAGTCGAAAAATCAAAAAATTGAGAAACCGAAGTAGGCCAAAATCGAAAAATCGAAAACTTAAATATGGAAAAATTGATAAAGCGAGAGATTGAATAATCAAAACATCGAAACATCCGAATCTCAATGAACTGAGATCTCAAAAAATTTAAACATTCGTAAATTTAAAAGATTAAAATATAGAACTGGAAACTCGAGAAACTGAAAAATCTAGAAATTTAAAAATTAAAATATGAAAAAGTTGAAAAATTGAGAAATTGAAATAAAAAACAGAAAACTGAAAATCCAAAAATAAAAAATAGAAAAATCTAGAAGTCGAAAAATGAAAGAATCGAAGTATTGAAAAATATCAAAACTGAAAGAAATATCCAAAAATTGAGAAATCGACAAACCAATAAAGCGAAGTCGAAAAATCGAAGAATTGAAGAACTGAAAAATCGAAACTTTGAGAAGTGGGAAAATCAAAAATAGATTAATTGATAAATCAGAAAATTGAAAATTTAACGCAAAAATTTGAAAAATTGAAAAATTTAAATACTGAAGAACTGAAAAGTCAAAAAATCGAGAAATCGAAAACTCTAAAATTTAAAACATTGAATAATTAAAATATCGCAAAATTGAAGAATCTAGAAATCCAATTCAATTTGAAAAATTGAAAAATCGGGACATTGAAAAATTGGAAAATCCAAAAATTGAAAAGCTCCAAAGAAAAAAATCTAAAAACCGAGAAATCCAAAAATCGAAACATCGAAAAATTCAAAAACTGAGACTTCGAGAAATCGAAAAATCGGAGAATCGAGAAATTGAGGAGTCGCAAGCCGAAAAGGAAAGTTAAAAATTGAAAAATTGAGAAATTGAACAATCAAAACAACGAAACATCTGAATTCGATAAATTGAGAAATTAAAAAATTGAATAATCAAAATATTTTAAAAAAGAAAAACAGGAAAATCGAAAATTAAAATTCAAAAAATCGAAAAATTGAAAAATTGAAATATAGAAGAATTGAAAACTCGAGATATCGAAAAACCTAGAATTTTAAAAAATGGAATATTAAAACATCGAAAAGTTGAAAAATTGAGAAATCGAAGCATTAAACAGTCGCAGAATTGAAAAATCTAAAGTTTACAATAAATTGAAAATCCAAAAAGTAAAAAATCGAAAAGTCGAAAAATTGAAATATTGAAAAATCTCATAACTGAAAGAAATATTCAAAAAATTGAGAAATTAAAAAATTGGAAAATTGAGAAATCGAAAATCTAAAAAAGCAAAATTGAAAAATCGTAATCTAATCTAATCGGAAACTAGTTCAAGAAACAATTAGTTATATCGTATTTTTGGAACAAAATCTACCAAAATGTCCGATAACAGCAATTGTTTTTCATAGAAACAAACAGTCTTCAAAGCAGCCTTTAACTACTCGATATTACAAACATGCGTCTTAAGTTCTTAATGCGTTTTTTTCTCTCTTGTAATTATTTGTAATGTTAACGCCGAAAGTTTATGTCATTCTGTTATTTACTTTGAACATATATTTTCATTTTGTGTTAATATTTTTGTAACACCACGAATCTAAATTTTACTTAAAATCTTGTTTTACTTTAATCTTGTAAAACTAAACAATTATACCAGTTTAAAAACCCTTGGAAAGTTTCTGTCAGTCTTCAGATATAGTCAAATAAAAATAGGCGTCAAATTCATTTAAATTCAATTCTTTCTTATCACGTTACAACGCGTTGCTTCATATTTTTTATGTCAAGTATATTTTCATATTTTGTACATATATGTTTATACACATTACTGTTTACGGAACAATGTTAATTATGGATTTATGGATAACTCCTCGTATAAGAGCAGAGTGAAGGGTGTTTGCCTTTGCTAATGTTTGATGGCGCCATCTGATGTATAGTAAAATAAACCTAATACGTTGGCTCACTGTAGTGAAAATGCGCGTTGACGAAAAATTTGTCCCACGCCCCCTGGATTCCTTGTCCTAAAGCTCACTATTTAGGCGAAAAATTAGTAAAATTTGTATTAGGTTGTCCAACTATAATATACTTAAACAATGATAAAGGGCTACAACCTGCCAGCCGGAGTAGTAATTGAATCTCCCTCTAGTTAGTGTGGTGTCTTCCAGCACGAACTGCGACCAAACGTACGGTAAATAAAACGCCCTGTACCACGACTTACACACCAAACTGGCATAATACTTATCCCGTATGGACAAATATGAAAATATTTTTTCCAAGAGTAAATCCGGCAGTTCAAACCATCTCGAATACACTCTATTTTCCTCCCTCTGTTCTTCGTCTTCGATATCGATGTAAATCGCTACAAAAAAAATTATCACCAACACGACCACGAATCGCCGAAAATCAGAAACGTAATCGGTGAATCCGTCGCATCGTTCACTGATTGCGAAAAACACGTGCTTTTAAAGTCCGTAATGGAATGAAAATAGTAATGAGAGCAAGCAGTGCTAACTAACTATGCGTAAATTTTAGTAGTTTAAAAAGTATGGTTTTTCGGGTGCTGTTAATTTGGAATAAGGAATACCTTTGGAGCCCGTATTTTTGGACTTATACAGTTCGGTCCACAATTCGTGCGAAAATTTATGATGTTTGTCACGCTTGTAAAACGTACTCGTAACCGGACCTAAAAACGACAAGTTAACCAAATAACCATTAACCAAGTCAAATGAAAGTCACTTGAATTGGCTATCATCTGAGAAAAAGCTTCAAAAATAATTACAAAAGTAAAAATGAAAAAACGTATTTACCTTCGTCGTTGTCGTCCACTTTCCAACAGCCTTTTTCCATTGTTTTGCTTTTCTGGGTGTAAATAGTCGACGTGCACGCCGGCTTATATAATTAATATTTGGTTGAAAACAAGCGGTCTTAAAATAGCCGGCCGAAATTAAACTGGCACGCATTTTTTGAGAAGAAACGGCGACGGCAGCGATTTCCGCGACGATAATCATAAACAGATTTTTGTTGCGGTTATTGAAAATCGATTTTTTCGTAAAGAAACCCTCGGGGAATCAAATTCAAATGGAGGTTTTTGGCGCCCGTAGCAAAAAGCAAAAACAAAATCTAGTCGGAGAACATAGAGATGCGTCATAGTTTAAATTAAATGACGGTTGAGGACTCGTCGATTTAAGTTGGCAACAGTGTTTGTTTCTAACTAGGAATAAAATTAACTAGAAAAAAGTCATAATGACCATAATTTCTGCTGTTTCAACTTTCGAATTCTTAGTTTTTCGAAATATTAGTTTGGGGACTTTTCAGTATATTCCTATTTATTTTTCAATTTTTGACTTTTATAAACTCCTTATTTGTCGATTTTTCAATTAATTGATTTTTCAGGTTTTTTGGTTTTTCAATTTTTATATTTTTTCAGGTTTCGATTTTTCAACTTCACTTTTTTGATTTTTCGATTTCTCACTTTTTCAATTTTTTAATTTCTCAGTTTTTGGACATTTCAGTTTTGAGATTTTTCAGTTTACTTATTATTCAATTTTTCGATCTTACGATTTTGCAGGTTTTTGATTTTTCAATTTTTCGATTTTTTTAACGTTTCGATATTTCCACTTCACTTTTCTGATTTTTTGATTTCTCAATTTTTCGATTCTTTAGATTCTCAGTTTTTCGATATTTCAGTTTTGGGATTTTGCAATATTTCTGTTCTTCGACTTTTCCATTTTTGACTTCTGGATTTTTCGATGTGTCGACTTTTTACTTTTTCGATTTTTAAATTTTAGATTTCTCAGTTTTTTGGTATTTTAATTTTTCAATATTTAAAATTTTAGAATTTTCGATTTCTCGATTTTTCATTTCAGCTCTTCCATACTTCAATTTTTCAAATGTTTCGATTTCTTAATCTTTCGATTTTTCGACTTCCCGGTTTTAGATTTTCAGTTTTTTGGTGTTTTAATTTTTCAATATTTAAAATTTTAGATTTTTCGATTTCTCGATTTTTCATTTCAGTTCTTCGATATTTCAGTTTTTCAAGTTTTCGAATTTTTCAAATGTTTTGATTTCTTAATCAGTCGATTTTTCGACTCCCCGGTTTTAGATTTTCTGTTTTTCAATTGTCGTTTTTTCAGATTTTCGATTTTTCAATTTTTCAAATTTATAAACTGTCAATTTTACGATTTTTCAATTTTTGACTTTTATAAACTCTTTATTTGTCGATTTTTCAATTGATTGATTTTTCACGTTTTTTGGTTTTTCAATTTTTCTATTTTTTCAGGTTTCAATTTTGCAACTTCACTTTTCATTTTTCGATTTCTCAATTTTTCAATTTTTTAATTTCTCAGTTTTTGGACATTTCAGTTTTGGGATTTTTCAGTTTACTTATTATTCAATTTTTCCATCTTAATATTTTGCAGGTTTTTGATTTTTCAATTTTTCGATTTTTTAAGGTTTCGATATTTCGACTTCACTTTTTTGATTTTTCGATTTCTCAATTTTTCGATTCTTTAGATTCTCAGTTTTTGGATATTTCAGTTTTGGGATTTTTCAGTTTTTCGATTCGTCAGTTTTTCTTTCATTTTTCAGTTTTTCGATATTTCAGTTTTGGAATTTTTCAATATTTCTGTTCTTCGACTTTTCCATTTTTGATTTCTGGATTTTTCGATGTGTCGACTTTTTACTTTTTCGATTTTTAAATTTTAGATTTCTCAGTTTTTTGGTATTTTAATTTTTAAATATTTGAAATTTCCATTTCTCGATTTTTCATTTCAGCTCTTCCATATTTCAATTTTTCACATGTTTCGATTTCTTAATCTTTCGATTTTTCAATTTTTCAAATTTGACACTTATAAACTGTCAATTTTTCGATTTTTCAATTAATCGATGTTTTGATTTTCCCATTTCTTGACTTTCGAGGGTTTCGATATTCCTGTTTTTTAATTCTTTAATTTTTTGATTTTTCAGGTTTTTTATTTTTTATTTTTTTATTTTTTTAAGGTTTCAATTTTTCGACTTCACTTTTCGGATTTTTTTATTGCTCAATTTTTCGACTTTTTAGGTTCTTAGTTTTTGGATATTTCAGTTTTCGGATTTTCCAGGTTTTCCAATTTTCAGTTTTTCTTTCATTTTTCAGTTTTTCGATATTTCAGTTTTGGGATTTTTCAATATTTTGATTCTTCAACTTTTCGATTTTTGGCTTTTGGAGTTTTCGATGTGTTGATTTTTTTACTTTTTCGATTTTTCAATTTTTCGATTTTCAAATTTTAGATTTTTTAATTTTTAAAATTTTAGATTTTTCGATTTCTCGATTTTTCATTTCAGTTCTTCGATATTTCAGTTTTCAAGTTTTCGAATTTTTCAAATGTTTTGATTTTTCAACTTCCCGGTTTTAGATTTTCTGTTTTACAATTGTCGTTTTTTCAAATTTTCGATTTTTCAAATTTTCAAATTTGACATTTATAAACTGTCAATTTTTCAATTAATCGATATTTTGATTTTTCCACTTCTTGACTTTCGAGGGTTCCGATATTCCTGTTTTTTAATTCTTTAATTTTTTGATTTTTCAGGTTTTTTATTTTTTATTTTTTTATTTTTTTAAGGTTTCAATTTTTCGACTTCACTTTTTGGATTTTTCTATTGTTCAATTTTTCGACTTTTTAGGTTCTCAATTTTTGGATATTTCAGTTTTGGGATTTTTCAATATTTCAATTCTCGATTTTTCATTTCAGTTTTTCAAGTTTTCGAATTTTTCAAATGTTTTAATTTCTTGATCAATCGATTTTTCGATTTCCCGGTTTTAGATTTTCTGTTTTTCAATTATCATTTTTTCAAATTTTCGATTTTCAATTTTTCAAATTTGACATTTATGAACTGTCAATTTTTCGATTTTTTAATTGATCGATGTTTTGATTTTCCCATTTCTTGACTTGCGAGGGTTTCGATATTCCTGTTCTTCAATTCTTTAATTTTTCGATTTTTCAGGTTTTTGATTTTTTATTTTTTAATTTTTTTAAGGTTTCAATTTTTGGACCTCACTTTTTGGATTTTTCTATTGCTGAATTTTTCGACTTTTTAGGTTCTCAGTTTTTGATTTTTCAGTTTTCGGATTTTTCAGGTTTTCCATTTTTCAATTTTTTTTTCATTTTTCAGTTTTTCAATATTTCAGTTTTGGGATTTTTCAATATTTTGATTCTTCGACTTTTCGATTTTTGGCTTCTGGAGTTTTCGATGTGTTTTTTTACTTTTTCGATTTTTCAATTTTTCGATTGCTTATTAATCTTTCGATTTTTCGACTTCCCCGGTTTAGATTTTCTGTTTTCCATTGCCGTTTTAAATTTTTCGATTTTTCAATGTTTTGATTTCCCGATTTAGTTTTCCATTTTTAGTTTTTCTTTCATTTTTCAGTTTTTTGATATTTCAGTTTTGGGATTTTTCAATATTTCGATTCGTCGACTTTTCGATTTTTGACTCCTGAATTTTTCGATGTGTTGATTTTTTACTTTTTCGATTTTTAAATTTTGGTTTTTTTAATTTTTAAAATTTTAGATTTTTCGATTTCTCGATTTTTCATTTCAGTTCTTCGATATTTCAATTTTTCAAGTTTTCGAATTTTTCAAATGTTTCGATTTCTTAATCTTTTGATTTTTCGACTTCCCGCTTTTAAATTTTCTGTTTTTCAATTGTCGTTTTTTCAAATTTTCGATTTTTCAATTTCTCAAATTTGACATTTATAAACTGTCAATTTTTCGATTTTTCAATTAATCGATGTTTTGATTTTCCCATTTCTTGACTTTTGAGGGTTTCGATATTCCTGTTCGTCAATGGTTTGATTTTTCGATTTTTCAGGTTTTTCATTTTTTATTTTTTAATTTTTTTAAGGTTTCAATTTTTCGACTTCACTTTTTTGATTTTTCGATATTTCAGTTTTAGGATTTTTCGATATTTCTATTCTTCAGGTTTTCTATTTTTGACTGCTGGATTTTTCGATGTGTCTACCTTTTCACTTTTTCGATTTTTCAATTTTTGGATTTTTAAATTTTATATTTTTCAATCTTTCGATATTTTAATTTTTCAATATTTCTTAATCTTTCTATTTTTCGAGTTCCTGGTTTTAGATGTTCTGTTTTTCAATTTTTCGATTTGTTAATTTTTCATTCCCGAGTTATCGAGATTTGATTGTTCACGTTTTCGATTTATCATTTTTTCAATTTTTTATTTTGGCCTATTTCGGTTTCTCAGTTTTTCCAGTTTTCCATTTTTTCGTTTTTTGATTTTTCCGCTTTTCCAATTTTTCAACTTTTAACTGTTGTGTTGTTGTTTGTCGATTTCTCTATTTTTCGATTTTTCGACTTCATCACTTTTCGATTTCTCGTTCTTTGGATCTTTCAATCTCTCAATTTTTCAATTTTTCGAATTTTTAAGTTTTTTAATTTCTGGATTTATCGAGATTTGGATTTTTCGATATTTTGATTGTCAATTTTTCAATTTTTAACTTTTCGATTTTTCGATTTTGACCCATTTCGGTTTCTCAACTGTTCGATTTTTCGACTCCACCAGTTCTTGATCTTTTGATTTTTCGATTTCTCAGTTTTTAGATTTTTCAGTTTTTCAATGTTTCGATTTTTCGTTATTCGGTTTTTTAAATTTTTATTGGCATCGACTATTTAAATTTGGCGCTTTCGGACTCCAATCTCAATACGGGTGGTTTTGCAAAATCAGCCGGTATGTCGCATCCATATTAATCTATGATCTAGTAACTTTCGCTGTCATTTTTCGTGTGCCAGCCCTGCCTGTCAGTTAATTCAACTCACTCGATTTAAATTTGCGCAATTTTAATGTGTAACGGAACAATAATTATATTTAAGAATATTTTATAAATGAATTGGTTCCATATCAGTGTTCCGTGTACGTAGTAGTCACTTATTTACGTTTCACACTAGTATTAAGTGAACGTCTATGGAAAAAGGTGAGCAACCGGTTTTTTCGTACTTGTTTTATGTTACACGTTTTTAGCACAATTTTGGTTAAAATGAGCGACGAAAGGAGTTTTGCGGGTAAAAACTCCTTATTTGATTCACCAGTAAGCACTCCACCCCTAGGTGTACGCTCGATTTTCCAAATAAGCGGTTTTGACGACTTTGCTAGAGAATCTCTTGGGATTTTAGACCTCAATAGAGAGTCCCTGGGTTTTTATCATGATGACGCTGCAAGAGAGTCTTTGGGGATTATCAATCTGGATAATCTGGACACAGGACGGGACTCACTAGGAATCAGCAACATTAAAACTTACGATTTTACTCTATCTAAAGGGAGCTTGCCAACCATTTCGGATGAAGATGAAACCACTAAGAACGTGTCCACAATTGCACAAACGTCAATAAGCGAATTTCAGGTTCCTACGTTTTCCAGTGTCATGAATGATGCTTTGAGAAACACGACGGACTTTGTTAGACGAATGCAGGTGTATTTGAGCCCTACAATACCCACAAAGTCGCCACTACACAAAGCTGTTAATAATAAACCAATCAGAAACGCGTCTTTACCGTCAATCTTAGATGAAAAAGTTAAGTTTGAAGCCCCCCCATCGTTACATTTAAGTTGTAATGATGCAGATAACAGTGATACGGACATCGTTTTTGTAAGTACTCAACAACTGCATAACACCCTGTATAGTTTTTTTTTTTTTAGAACGTGGATCAGTCAATTTCAGAGCAAGATTATATGCTGGACTCCACGCAAGAACCAGCCGATTTTGCCAACATTCTCGACATTGAGGACCCCATTAAGTGTGAAACAGACGCAGTTTTTAAAACTATCGACAAATTGTTCATTTCAACTGATGACAACTTGTCCACGAATCACGAAACTTTGAACTCCCCTAGACGCGACAGCTCCAGCTCGAAGTCCAAAGACCCCATGGAAATGATAGACGCGCTGACGGATTATTTGAACGACAATTGCGACGAGGTGAAGAAAACCGAAGGCCAGAATATTCTAGCAAATTTGGCTGAGTTTTTCCATTTGAGCGCTTCCACTAAATCACAGTCGTGCGACTTCCACTACTCTGAAACGGTGCGACCTTTACGAAAAAAAAGCCGTTCAGAGACTAGTATTAACCACCTAGATGAAGATTGCGTACCGCTAGATCTGTCTATTAAATCAAGAGATAAAGCGTTCACGAGTCCGAAAATGTTGCCGCCGAAGTTTAGCAAGACGCGGCAAATGTCGCTGACTAACATTAAAGTCAATCAGAGTAGGGTGAGCAATTGTTCGACGTCTAGCAACGAAGGGAGGAATTCGAGCGACTCCAAAATGTTCAGGCCAAAAAAATCTGAAAGCAAAGTCTTGGGTGTGAAAAAGGGTCCAATGAAAGCGGTGCTTCCAATTAACACCATGGCAAAAACAAAGAGTACGTCACTGTATTTTTGAAACAAGTATCTAATTTTTAATTGTAGCTAATAATTTGAAATTGACTCCTAAAAACTCGGAATCTACGAAATTAAAAAAGAGCGTCACGCCGATTAATGGAACGAATTTTAAACCAATTGGACAGTCAACCCCTGATTACCCTAAAAACGGAATTGTTAGTTCGCCCCTAGCCAGACCGAATTTGCCTGCTTGTATTGGGTATGATTTAGTAGTTTTTGCAGCTCTCCATAGTCGGTTTTTAATTTTTGCAGCTCCAAAATTGTAAAACCGAAATTAAGTTCTTTTAATAGGAGTTCAGATGGTGGTAATAAATTTGCGAAAACGCGCTCCTCTATTGAAATAAAGAAAACGACTGAAAGTAGCAACAAAACGGCGGTTAGAGCACGCAGTTTAGACCGGAAAGTGAAGCCTTCAAGCCACTTGGGTCCACAAAGAAACTCATTTTCGCACCCAACCCACACCAGTGTATTGAAAGACAACAACAAAGTGATTCGAAGACCCTCCATTACTAAAAAGGTTGGAAAAGAAAATAAGTAAAGAAATAAATTATTGGCAATTGATTGTGATAGAATTTGCTTGTGAATTTTTATACATTTTACAAAATATACTTGATTTTATAAAGTAGTCAAATCATTAAACACATATTATGTTTGAAACTAAAATGCATTTTATCACAAAATATTTATCACCATTTAAATATATACGATTTAGACATCAAGAAATAAATTTAAAATCGCAAAAATTAAATGTAGCAGACTTAAAACATTGAAATATGGAAGAACTGAAAACTCAAAAAATCGAAAAAAAAAAAATTTAAAAATTGAAAAGTTAAAATTGAGAAATCGAAAAATTGAAAAATCAAAAACCTGAATAATCGAAAAATTGAAGAACTGAAGAACTGAAAAATTGAAACTTCAGGAAGTGGAGAAATGGGAATATAAAAAAATAGATTAATTGAGAAATCCGAAAACTAAAAATTCAGAAACGCGAAATTTTGAAAAATAAAAAAATATTGAAGAACTAAAAAATCGAAAAATCTAAAATTTAAAACATTGAAAAGTTAAAATATCCTAAAAGTGAAAAATGGAGAAATCCAAACATCAAAAATTCAAAAAAATTAAAATTCGAAAATCTAAAATTTAAAAATCGAAAACCTGAAAAATCAACGAATCGAGAAGGGGAAAATTTAAAAAATTGGAAAATTGAAAAATCGGATAAATCAAAAATCTAAACATCGAAAAATCGAGAAACCGAAAAGCAAAAATGGAAAAACCAACAAATCGAAAAGTCGAAACATTGTAAAATTCAAAAATTGAAATTTAAAAATTAAAATATGGAAAATTTGAAAAATTGAGAAATTGAAATATAAAACAATCGAAACATTGAAAAATCTAAAGTATAAAAAACAAAAAACTGAAAATCCAAAAATAAAAAATAGAAAAATCTAAAAGTCGAAAAATCAAAGAATCGAAGTATTGAAAAATATCAAAACTGAAAGAAATATCCAAAAATTGAGAAATCGACAAATCAATAAAGCGAAGTCGAAAAATCGAAGAATTGAAGAACTGAAAAATCGAAACTTTGAGAAGTGGGAAAATCAAAAATAGATTAACTGGGAAATCAGAAAATTGAAAATTTAACGCAAAAATTTGAAAAATTTAAATACTGAAGAACTGAAAAGTCAAAAAATCGAGAAATCGAAAACTCTAAAATTTAAAACATTGAATAATTAAAATATCGCAAAATTGAAGAATCGAGAAATCCAATTCAATTTGAAAAATTGAAAAATCGGGACATTGAAAAATTGAAAAGCTCCAAAGAAAAAAATCTAAAAACCGAGAAATCCAAAAATCGAAAAATTCAAAAACTGAGACTTCGAGAAATCGAAAAATCGGAGGATCGAGAAATTGAGAAGTCAGAAGCCGTAAAGGAAAGTTAAAAATTGAAAAATTGAGAAATTGAACAATCAAAACAACGAAACATCTGAATTCGATAAATTGAGAAATTAAAAAATTGAATAATCGAAATATTTTAAAAAAGAAAAACAGGAAAATCGAAAATTAAAATTCAAAAAATCGAAAAATTGAAAAATTGAAATATAGAAGAATTGAAAACTCGAGATATCGAAAAACCTAGAATTTTAAAAAATGGAATATTAAAACATCGAAAAGTTGAAAAATTGAGAAATCGAAGCATTAAACAGTCGCAGAATTGAAAAATCTAAAGTTTACAATAAATTGAAAATCCAAAAAGTAAAAAATCGAGAAATCAAAAAAAATCCATCAATTCAAAAATCGAAAAGTCGAAAAATTGAAATATTGAAAAATCTGAAAGAAATATTCAAAAAATTGAGAAATTAAAAAATTGGAAAATTGAGAAATCGAAAATCTAAAAAAGCAAAATTGAAAAATCGTAATCTTAAAAAATCGAAAAATTGAATAATTGAAGATGTGAAAAATCGAAACTTTAGGAAGTCCAGAAATGGACAAATAAAAAAAATACTTTAGAAATCGGCAAACTGAAAATTTAGAAACGTGAAAATTTGAAAAATTGAAAAATCGAAATATTTGTCATTTTGTCAAATTTTCGATTTTTCAATTAATCGATGTTTTGATTTTCCTATTTCTTGACCTTCGAGTGTTTCGATATTCCTGTTCTTTAATTCTTTAATTTTTCGATTTTTCAGGTTTTTGATTTTTTATGTTTTAATTTTTTTAAGGTTTCAATGTTTCAATCGAGGAGTCGAAAAATCAAGAAGTCGAAAAATCAAAAAATTGAGAAACCGAAATAGGCCAAAATCGAAAAATTGAAAACTTAAATATGGAAAAATTGATAAAGCGAGAGATTGAATAATCAAAACATCAAAACATCCGGATCTCAATAAATTGAAATCTCAAAAAAATTAAAAATTCGGAAATTTGAAGAATTAAAATATAGAACTGGAAACTCGAGAAACCGAAAAATCTAGAAATTTAAAAATTAAAATATGGAAAATTTGAAAAATTGAGAAATTGAAATATAAAACAATCGAAACATTGAAAAATCTAAAGTATAAAAAACAAAAAACTGAAAATCCAAAAATAAAAAATAGAAAAATCTAGAAGTCGAAAAATCAAAGAATCGAAGTATTGAAAAATATCAAAACTGAAAGAAATATCCAAAAATTGAGAAATCGAAAAACCAATAAAGCGAAGTCGAAAAATCGAAGAATTGAAGAACTGAAAAACCGAAACTTTGAGAAGTGGGAAAATCAAAAATAGATTAATTGATAAATCAGAAAATTGAAAATTTAACGCAAAAATTTGAAAAATTGGAAAATTTAAATACTGAAGAACTGAAAAGTCAAAAAATCGAGAAATCGAAAACTCTAAAATTTAAAACATTGAATAATTAAAATATCGCAAAATTGAAGAATCGAGAAATCCAATTCAATTTGAAAAATTGAAAAATCGGAACATTGAAAAATTGGAAAATCCAAAAATTGAAATGCTCCAAAGAAAAAAATCTAAAAACCGAGAAATCCAAAAATCGAAACATCGAAAAATTCAAAAACTGAGACTTCGAGAAATCGAAAAATCGGAGGATCGAGAAATTGAGGAGTCGGAAGCCGAAAAGGAAAGTTAAAAATTGAAAAATTGAGAAATTGAACAATCAAAACAACGAAACATCTGAATTCGATAAATTGAGAAATTAAAAAATTGAATAATCGAAATATTTTAAAAAAGAAAAACAGGAAAATCGAAAATTAAAATTCAAAAAATCGAAAAATTGAAATATAGAAGAATTGAAAACTCGAGATATCGAAAAACCTAGAATTTTAAAAAATGGAATATTAAAACATCGAAAAATTGAAAAATTGAGAAATCGAAGCATTAAACAGTCGCAGAATTGAAAAATCTAAAGTTTACAATAAATTGAAAATCCAAAAAGTAAAAAATCGAGAAATGAAAAAAATCCATCAATTCAAAAATCGAAAAGTCGAAAAATTGAAATATTGAAAAATCTCATAACTGAAAGAAATATTCAAAAAATTGAGAAATTAAAAAATTGGAAAATTGAGAAATCGAAAATCTAAAAAAGCAAAATTGAAAAATCGTAATCTTAAAAAATCGAAAAATTGAAGAATTGAAGATGTGAAAAATCGAAACTTTAGGAAGTCCAGAAATGGACAAATAAAAAAAATACTTTAGAAATCGGCAAACTGAAAATTTAGAAACGTGAAAATTTGAAAAATTGAAAAATCGAAATATTTGTCATTTTGTCAAATTTTCGATTTTTCAATTAATCGATGTTTTGATTTTCCTATTTCTTGACCTTCGAGTGTTTCGATATTCCTGTTCTTTAATTCTTTAATTTTTCGATTTTTCAGGTTTTTGATTTTTTATGTTTTAATTTTTTTAAGGTTTCAATGTTTCAATCGAGGAGTCGAAAAATCAAGAAGTCGAAAAATCAAAAAATTGAGAAACCGAAATAGGCCAAAATCGAAAAATTGAAAACTTAAATATGGAAAAATTGATAAAGCGAGAGATTGAATAATCAAAACATCAAAACATCCGGATCTCAATAAATTGAAATCTCAAAAAAATTAAAAATTCGGAAATTTGAAGAATTAAAATATAGAACTGGAAACTCGAGAAACCGAAAAATCTAGAAATTTAAAAATTAAAATATGGAAAATTTGAAAAATTGAGAAATTGAAATATAAAACAATCGAAACATTGAAAAATCTAAAGTATAAAAAACAAAAAACTGAAAATCCAAAAATAAAAAATAGAAAAATCTAGAAGTCGAAAAATTAAAGAATCGAAGTATTGAAAAATATCAAAACTGAAAGAAATATCCAAAAATTGAGAAATCGAAAAACCAATACAGCGAAGTCGAAAAATCGAAGAATTGAAGAACTGAAAAATCGAAACTTTGAGAAGTGGGAAAATCAAAAATTGATTAATTGATAAATCAGAAAATTGAAAATTTAACGCAAAAATTTGAAAAATTGAAAAATTTAAATACTGAAGAACTGAAAAGTCAAAAAATCGAGAAATCGAAAACTCTAAAATTTAAAACATTGAATAATTAAAATATCGCAAAATTGAAGAATCGAGAAATCCAATTCAATTTGAAAAATTGAAAAATCGGGACATTAAAAAATTGGAAAATCCAAAAATTGAAAAGCTCCAAAGAAAAAAATCTAAAAACCGAGAAATCCAAAAATCGAAACATCAAAAAATTCAAAAACTGAGACTTCGAGAAATCGAAAAATCGGAGGATCGAGAAATTGAGGAGTCAGAAGCCGTAAAGGAAAGTTAAAAATTGAAAAATTGAGAAATTGAACAATCAAAACAACGAAACATCTGAATTCGATAAATTGAGAAATTAAAAAATTGAATAATCGAAATATTTTAAAAAAGAAAAACAGGAAAATCAAAAATTAAAATTCAAAAAATCGAAAAATTGAAAAATTGAAATATAGAAGAATTGAAAACTCTAGATATCGAAAAACCTAGAATTTTAAAAAATGGAATATTAAAACATCGAAAAGTTGAAAAATTGAGAAATCGAAGCATTAAACAGTCGCAGAATTGAAAAATCTAAAGTTTACAATAAATTGAAAATCCAAAAAGTAAAAAATCGAGAAATCAAAAAAAATCCATCAATTCAAAAATCGAAAAGTCGAAAAATTGAAATATTGAAAAATCTGAAAGAAATATTCAAAAAATTGAGAAATTAAAAAATTGGAAAATTGAGAAATCGAAAATCTAAAAAAGCAAAATTGAAAAATCGTAATCTTAAAAAATCGAAAAATTGAAGAATTGAAGATGTGAAAAATCGAAACTTTAGGAAGTCCAGAAATGGACAAATAAAAAAAAATACTTTAGAAATCGGCAAACTGAAAATTTAGAAACGTGAAAATTTGAAAAATTGAAAAATCGAAAAATCTAAAATTTAAAACATTGAAAAGTTAAAATATCCTAAAACTGAAAAATGGAGAAATCCAAACATCAAAAATTCAAAAAAATAAAAATTCGAAAATCTAAAATTTAAAAATCGAAAACCTGAAAAATCAACGAATCGAGAAGGGGAAAATTTAAAAAATTGGAAAATTGAAAAATCGGATAAATCAAAAATCTAAACATCGAAAAATCGAGAAACCGAAAAGCAAAAATCGAAAAACCAACAAATCGAAAAATCGAAACATTGTAAAATTCAAAAATTGAGAGATCGAGAAATCGAAAAATCAAAAAATTGAGAAACCGAAGTAGGCCAAAATCGAAAAATTGAAAACTTAAATATGGAAAAATTGATAAAGCGAGAGATTGAATAATCAAAACATCAAAACATCCGGATCTCAATAAATTGAAATCTCAAAAAAATTAAAAATTCGGAAATTTGAAGAATTAAAATATAGAACTGGAAACTCGAGAAACCGAAAAATCTAGAAATTTAAAAATTAAAATATGGAAAATTTGAAAAATTGAGAAATTGAAATATAAAACAATCGAAACATTGAAAAATCTAAAGTATAAAAAACAAAAAACTGAAAATCCAAAAATAAAAAATAGAAAAATCTAGAAGTCGAAAAATCAAAGAATCGAAGTATTGAAAAATATCAAAACTGAAAGAAATATCCAAAAATTGAGGAATCGAAAAACCAATAAAGCGAAGTCGAAAAATCGAAGAATTGAAGAACTGAAAAATCGAAACTTTGAGAAGTGGGAAAGTCAAAAATAGATTAATTGATAAATCAGAAAATTGAAAATTTAACGCAAAAATTTGAAAAATTGAAAAATTTAAATACTGGAGAACTGAAAAGTCAAAAAATCGAGAAATCGAAAACTCTAAAATTTAAAACATTGAATAATTAAAATATCGCAAAATTGAAGAATCTAGAAATCCAATTCAATTTGATAAATTGAAAAATCGGGACATTGAAAAATTGGAAAATCCAAAAATTGAAAAGCTCCAAAGAAAAAAATCTAAAAACCGAGAAATCCAAAAATCGAAACATCGAAAAATTCAAAAACTGAGACTTTGAGAAATCGAAAAATCGGAGGATCGAGAAATTGAGGAGTCAGAAGCCGTAAAGGAAAGTTAAAAATTGAAAAATTGAGAAATTGAACAATCAAAACAACGAAACATCTGAATTCGATAAATTGAGAAATTAAAAAATTGAATAATCGAAATATTTTAAAAAAGAAAAACAGGAAAATCGAAAATTAAAATTCAAAAAATCGAAAAATTGAAAAATTGAAATATAGAAGAATTGAAAACTCTAGATATCGAAAAACCTAGAATTTTAAAAAATGGAATATTAAAACATCGAAAAGTTGAAAAATTGAGAAATCGAAGCATTAAACAGTCGCAGAATTGAAAAATCTAAAGTTTACAATAAATTGAAAATCCAAAAAGTAAAAAATCGAGAAATGAAAAAAATCCATCAATTCAAAAATCGAAAAGTCGAAAAATTGAAATATTGAAAAATCTCATACCTGAAATAAATATTCAAAAAATTGAGAAATTAAAAAATTGGAAAATTGAGAAATCGAAAATCTAAAAAAGCAAAATTAAAAAATCGTAATCTTAAAAAATCGAAAAATTGAAGAACTGAAGATGTGAATAATCGAAACTTTAGGAAGTCCAGAAATGGACAAATAAAAAAAAATACTTTAGAAATCGGCAAACTGAAAATTTAGAAACGTGAAAATTTGAAAAATTGAAAAATCGAAAAATCTAAAATTTAAAACATTGAAAAGTTAAAATATCCTAAAACTGAAAAATGGAGAAATCCAAACATCAAAAATTCAAAAAAATAAAAATTCGAAAATCTAAAATTTAAAAATCGAAAACCTGAAAAATCAACGAATCGAGAAGGGGAAAATTTAAAAAATTGGAAAATTGAAAAATCGGATAAATCAAAAATCTAAACATCGAAAAATCGAGAAACCGAAAAGCAAAAATCGAAAAACCAACAAATCGAAAAATCGAAACATTGTAAAATTCAAAAATTGAGAGATCGAGAAATCGAAAAATCAAAAAATTGAGAAACCGAAGTAGGCCAAAATCGAAAAATTGAAAACTTAAATATGGAAAAATTGATAAAGCGAGAGATTGAATAATCAAAACATCAAAACATCCGGATCTCAATAAATTGAAATCTCAAAAAAATTAAAAATTCGGAAATTTGAAGAATTAAAATATAGAACTGGAAACTCGAGAAACCGAAAAATCTAGAAATTTAAAAATTAAAATATGGAAAATTTGAAAAATTGAGAAATTGAAATATAAAACAATCGAAACATTGAAAAATCTAAAGTATAAAAAACAAAAAACTGAAAATCCAAAAATAAAAAATAGAAAAATCTAGAAGTCGAAAAATCAAAGAATCGAAGTATTGAAAAATATCAAAACTGAAAGAAATATCCAAAAATTGAGAAATCGAAAAACCAATAAAGCGAAGTCGAAAAATCGAAGAATTGAAGAACTGAAAAATCGAAACTTTGAGAAGTGGGAAAATCAAAAATTGATTAATTGATAAATCAGAAAATTGAAAATTTAACGCAAAAATTTGAAAAATTGAAAAATTTAAATACTGAAGAACTGAAAAGTCAAAAAATCGAGAAACCGAAAACTCTAAAATTTAAAACATTGAATAATTAAAATATCGCAAAATTGAAGAATCGAGAAATCCAATTCAATTTGAAAAATTGAAAAATCGGGACATTAAAAAATTGGAAAATCCAAAAATTGAAAAGCTCCAAAGAAAAAATCTAAAAACCGAGAAATCCAAAAATCGAAACATCAAAAAATTCAAAAACTGAGACTTCGAGAAATCGAAAAATCGGAGGATCGAGAAATTGAGGAGCCAGAAGCCGTAAAGAAAAGTTAAAAATTGAAAAATTGAGAAATTGAACAATCAAAACAACGAAACATCTGAATTCGATAAATTGAGAAATTAAAAAATTGAATAATCGAAATATTTTAAAAAAGAAAAACAGGAAAATCGAAAATTAAAATTCAAAAAATCGAAAAATTGAAAAATTGAAATATAGAAGAATTGAAAACTCGAGATATCGAAAAACCTAGAATTTTAAAAAATGGAATATTAAAGCATCGAAAAGTTGAAAAATTGTGTGTAGGGCCAGCATAACGGAAGTAATAAATCATCCCATGGGTTGAAGAACGTTGGGTCAGTGCAATGATATCGGTGTTATATCCCGAGAGGGGCCCAATACACCCAATAAAATCGAACAGACAAAATAAAACTTCAAACATGATTATTTTTATACTAAAATTCTGAAGTTTATAAACTGCACATTTTATTTATTTATTTATTTATTTATTTATTTATTTATTTATTTATTTATTTCATCTTGTTTTCGAACTATAATAAACATTTCAAACAATGTCTGTAACTTATTTTAATGTAAATTATATTCATGTGGTTAACAAAAACAGATGTAATATTAGTGTGATTTTGTTCTTATTCTAGATTTTATTACAGCAGAACGGCGTATCCTTTTTAAATTTTAGAAGTTACGGAAACTAGTTCAAGAAACAAGTAGTTATCTCGTATTTTTGAAACAAAATCTACCAAAACGTCGGATAACAGCAATTGATTTTCATAGAAACAAACAGTCTTCAAAGTAACCTTTAACAACTCGATATTACAAACATGCCTCTTAAGTTCTTCATGCGTTTTTTTTTCTGTCTTGTAATTATTTGTAATGTGAACGCCGAAAGTTTATGTCATTCTGTTATTTACGTTGAATATATATTTTCATTTTGTGTTAATATTTTTGTAACACCACGAATCTAAATTTAACTTAAAATCTTGTTTTAATCTTGTAAAACTAAACAATTATACCAGTTTAAAAACCCTTGGTAAGTTTCTGTCAGTCTTCAGATATAGTCAAATAAAATATGCGTCAAATTCATTTAAATACAATTCTTTCTTATCACGTTACAACGCGTTGCTTCATATTTTTTGTCAAGTATATTTTCATATTTTGTACATATATGTTTATACACACTACTGTTTACGGAACAATGTTAATTATGGATTTATGGATAACTCCTCGTATAAGAGCAGAGTGAAGGGTGTTTGCCTTTGCTAATGTTTGATGGCGCCATCTGATGTAGAGTAAAATAAACCTAATACGTTCGCTCACTGTAGTGAAAATGCGCGTTGACGAAAAATTTGTCCCACGCCCCCTGGATTCCTTGTCCTAAAGCTCACTATTTAGGCGAAGTAAAATTTGTATTAGGTTGTCCAACTATAATATACTTAAACAATGGTTTGAGTGTGTGTAGAATGTGTTACGTATGCAACCCAAAATACACTTCGTTGTCCACCTAGGGACATTAATGTCACACCGTTGGCAACCAACTACTGTCAAATTCGGGGGGCGCGTGAATCTTCAATAGGGAGGGAATGGGTCGTGCATTAAATAAGTAAACAAAATTCCAATGAAAATTACCACGATGATATCCACTCAAGACTTGTTAAATCCGGCGGACGCGGATATCGATAAATCGCCCGTCTGGTAAGCGCGATTTTGAGGTTATCTGTTTTTCAAATTGCGCCCCTTGCAGCAAACGAGCCCGCTATGACGTGGACCCCGTGGAGTCGAACCGGTGGACCCTCAGTAAAAACGAGCTGGTTCTGCATTCCGTGTACGATTCTGGAGTGGGTTGTCTGCCCAGCGACTCAGAATTTGATCTCGAACACGAACTCAAAAAGCAAAGAACCAAAGTCATGCCAAGTGTGGAAACTCCGACGACTAAAATGGAGCAAATCGCGGTGTTGGAGGCGTCGCTGCCTGAAAACACGCTCCAGAAACTGTCGCTGGGTCAACTGGGTAGCGTTTTCTCGAAAGAAACAACTTTCAATGCGGCTAATTCGTACATAAGTATGTTGTATGCATTGTGGGTTGGATGTTATTAATTGAGTGAGTTGCAGATTATTTTGATCGGTTGTCGGATGAAGTGGTGTTGAATATTTTTCAAAATTTGGGGAAGTCGCAGTTGGCTCATGTGGCGCTAGTTTGTAGGAGGTTTAGTCAGTTGGTTGAGGATGAAAGTCTGTGGACGAGGATGGACGTGTCAAATAAAACCCTAGAAGCCGGCTCGATTGGCACGATTATGAGCCGACAAGTGATAATTTTAAGACTGGCTAGAACAAGGGTAAAATTGTTTTGTGTGTGGACTTAACTTAACGCGCTTTGTTTAGATATTATCCCCCCCTATTTTACCCAATGTTAAGGCGTCGCAGTCGGATTTCCGCTGCCGTTTGATGTACTTAGACCTAACTATGGCTACAATCGCCCCGTCAAGCTTAACAATAATTTTCAACAAATGTAGAAGACTGAAAAAATTGAGCCTGGAAACCGTCCCCGTAAGCGACAATGTCCTCGTCGCTTTGTCCGCTAATAAGGACCTTGAAGTGCTCAATTTAGCCATGGCAAGCGGGATCAACGTAGGGGGCTTAAAAGCTCTATTAACTCATTGTAGAAAGTGAGTCCCGCTCTTTGCATTAATCACACCTAAACCCCCGTTATTTCAGACTACGAGAATTAAATTTATCGTGGACGTACTTAAATTCAACTAGTATTGAATTCGCCTGCGAAAATTTACCTCTAAGTTTGGACAGGTTTAACTTCTCCGGGTGTAGAAAACTCCTCCAAGACCACAGTAAGTCGTCTGTCTACACGTCAGTTCCCCCACTCATTCGTTGCTTCCAGATGTAGTTCAAATAGTCGCCAACTGCCCCCATCTCCGTGAACTCGATTTATCCGACTGCACGTCCATAACCGGAGAAGCTGTGAAAAAAATAACTTTATTAGATGAACTCAATTTCTTGTCTCTGTCCAGGTGTTATCTCATTCCGTATCGGTCGCTACTGTAAGTCACAATTTCCCAACAACTTAGACCCTCATTTTGTGATTCTAGATGTCTCAAAAAAATGAAGACCCTAGCGTACTTGGACGTCCACGGTAGCTACATAAACTCCGACGAGTTTAAAATTATCAACGACGGCTTAGGCGCCAACGTCAACATCAACAAGTTTAAATTCAGCTCAGTCGCGCGACCAACGGTCGGAATTAAGCGATCGCGAATTTGGAACATGAAAGTTAGAGATTAAAACCCGATTTTCAATACAGCGCAGTGTGATGTTACTTTAGGTTTGTTCTAGTTTTGTGCCTTATTACGAGTGCTTGTTTATTTATAATATGAGAATGCGTATTAAATTTGATCAGTTAATGAGACAATAAATTTTAAACACCTTTGAACTTTTCAAATTTTTAATGACATTTGAAGTTTGACGTTTCGACAGGTGCAGCAACATTACCAATAAAAATCCCAGTCGATTTTCCGTCTTATCAATGATTTTACAACAATTAATAGAAGAAAATTATCCCCGAATCACATCGGTGTTTTTTATTTCCCGTTTTTGTTAGAAAAATAATGCAATAAATTGATAATCAAACTATTTTGACGTTTCAAAACCCACACAGGAGCACCAACATAAGTCAATAGCACATAACCTAAACACCATAAAAGTATACATTGTGCAGTAATTACAAGCCGAATTTCATCAAGACCACGTTTTTTTGCAATAGCGACTTACTTTGGCCCATTTAAGTCCAACTCTACCTCGTACATATTTTCAGTTTCTTGTGAAAACAAAAGTACGTGCATATAATAAGAAAAACAAAGGCAAAATACAAACCCCGCCCACCCACCCGCATTTCAATCGTGCTAACGTTTTTATTCGTTGTGAGTCGAAGGGCGGAGTTTATTGCAAAATGCTTATTTCTCTACAAGAAACTATTATGTGAAACATGTTTTTAAATTTTGTTGAAAGAAAACTATATTTGTTAAGAAAAACAATCCAAAAAGTAAGCCCCACCCACCCACCCGAATCTCACTTGTGATGAATTTTTCATTCGTTGTCAGACCGAGGGGCGGAGCTTAATTGTAAAATCGATGTTTCCTGACAAAAATTTACCATTTTAAACGTTTTAAATATATATTGTTGAAAAGATTGTTACGTATATCCAGAAAAAAGGCAAAATTGCACTCGTTGTGAATATTGAAATTCTATATAAATTGTGGAAAAATGGTGAAAATTTTCCAGAAAATGAAAACGAAACAAATTTTTTATACTAAATATGCAGATCTTGGGAAAAAATTCAAAATTGTATGACAATATTCTGCAATTTAATCAAAATTTATTCGTTTAGCCCCTCCCAAAAATTGATGACGTCCTGTCAAAATTTTGTCGATCTAAATAATGCAAAATATTATGACTATACTTCATAATTTTTATAAGGGTGACTCAATTGGGCCACGAAGCTTCCTGATTTTTTTTTTTTGATTTTTTAAATGATGACAGAAAAATGACATCGTTTGCTTTATCGGTGTCTCAAACTTCAAGGGTTGACTTATCTGAGTCAAGAAATATCTGTCATTATCAGAAAACTACAAGGAATCGAATGATATAAACAGAAAGACGATATCTTGAACCGTTTCCAAATGATAAATTCGTAAACTCGAAAAATATTTTTTGAGATGAGTTTTGAAACGAATTTCGACTGAAATAAAATTAATAATCAACAACTGATACCAGAAATGAATTCTGCACCGCAAAATTAGTCCAGAGACACAATTTCAGGCAGATTGAAAAGTCTGATTTTTTTCACCTTATGAAAATTTCTGATTTTGACTGTTTCTAACTGTCCCGATTAATAAAACTCTCAGCTTCTTGAAAACTAATCGTTTTACTAATTCGAACCTTCTGAATAGGAATCCAAGTTCAGAATTGGCCTATGAAGCATCCTGAATTTTTTTTATTTTTTAAATAAAGCTTCCTCTAGAAAAGTGACATCGTCTGTTTTATCAATCTCTCAAACCTCAACGGTTGATTTATCCGGGCTAAAAATTATGTGTCATTATTAGAAAACTGCAAGGAATCGAACGTTAGAAACGGGAAGACGATATCTTGAACCGCTTCGAAATGAGGAATTCGTAAACTCGAAAAATATTTTTTGAGATGAGTTTTGAAAGAAATTTTGATTGAAATTGAATTATTATTTAACAATTCGTGCCAGAAATAAATTCTGCACCACAAAATTAAGTCTTGAAACTCAATTTCAGGCAGATTGAAAAGTCTGTTTTTTTACCTTATTTTCAACCACTCGAAAATTTGTGTTTTTTTCCGAACTGTCCCGGTCAATAAAGGCTCAGCTTCATGAAAATTGATCTTTTTACTAATTCGAAGCTCCTGACTAGGAACCCAAGTTCAGAATTGGGCAATGGAGCTTCCTGAATTTTTCTGATTTTTTAAATGATGCTACCTACAGAAAAATGGCATCGTTTGCTTTATCGGTGTCTCAAACCTCAGGGATTGACTTATCTGGGCCAAAAAAATATCTGTCATTATCAGAAAACTCCAAGGAATCGAATGGTACAAACAGAAAGACGATATCTTAAACCGTTTCCAAATGATAAATTCGTAAACTCGAAAAATATTTTTTGAGATGAGTTTTGAAACGAATTTCGATTGAAATAGAATTAATAGTCAACAACTGATACCAGAAATGAATTCTGCACCGCAAAATTAGTCCGGAAACACAATTTCACGCAGATTGAAAAGTCTGATTTTTTCATCTTATTTTCAACCAGGTGAAAATTTCGGGTTTTGACTGTTTCTAATTGTCCCGATTAATAAAACTCTCAGCTTCCTGAAAATTAATCTTTTTACTAATTCGAACCTTCTGAATTGGAATCCAAGGTCAGAATTGGCCTATAAAGCATCCTGAATTTTTTTTATTTTTTAAATAAAGCTTCCTCTAGAAAAGTGACATCGTCTGTTTTATCAATCTCTCAAACCTCAACGGTTGATTTATCCGGGCTAAAAATTATGTGTCGTTATTAGAAATATGCAAAGAATCGAACGTTAGAAACGGGAAGACGATATCTTGAACCGCTTCGAAATGAGGAGTTCGTAAACTCGAAAAATGTTTTTTGAGATGAGTTTTGAAAGAAACTTCGATTGAAGTCGAGTTAATATTCAACAACCGATGCCAGAAATGAATTCTACAATGCAAAATGAGTCCAGAAACTCAATTTCAGGCAGATTGAAAGAGTCTGATTTTTTCAGCCAGAGTAAATATTTTGGTAACCCTCGGCTTCGCCTCGGGCTAAAAATCAATGGGTCTAAAAAAATGTTTAGATTATCGGCATAAGCCATTAAAAGAACATTATTTTTGGAAAAATATGTTTGACGAGCGAGTTGACAGTGACTACTTTTTGATTTTGGTACTATATAATTTTTTAGATTATTGTGGACTCCACCTTGGACTGATTTTATACATGTGTTAAGAAAACAAATCTAAAAGATAAACCCCACCCACCCGCCCCAATCTCGATTGTGATGAATTTTTCATTCGTTTTCAGACCGAGGGGCGGAGCTTAATTGTAAAATCGATGTTTCCCGACAAAAATTTACCATTTTAAACGTTTTAAATATATTGTCGTGAAAAGATTGTTACGTATATCCAGAAAAACGGCAAAATTGCTGATGTTACACGTTGTGAATATTGAAATTCTAAAACAATTGTTATACTCCTATTTCATATTGTAAGTTGTGGAAAAATGGTGAAAAGTTTCCAGAAAATGAAAAGGAAACAAAGTTTTTACAATAAACATCCATATTTTGGAAAAAAATTAAAATTGTATGACAATATTCTGCAATTTAATCAAAATTGATTCGTTTAGCCCCTCCCAAAAATTGATGATGTCATCTCAAAATTCTGAACAGCTTGCCCCATTTTTCCGCAAACTTTATAACTTTAGACCAATTTTTTAAATAAAATCTGAACATGCTCCCTGCGCTCCCATTCTAAACGTCCTTTTTTTAAGTTAGTCTGAGACGTATTGAAGAAAGAGTCGTTTTTAGGCTGCTAGAGTCTCCCCAATTTGAATACATAATTACAAACATTTTTTAGACAAAAACAATTTTTTTTATTAATAATTTAGCTTCTCAGGGACGCTAACGAATAATTTTTAATAACACCTGAACGTGCTCGCTGCGCTCGCATTCTTATATGGGTTTGGCCGTTATGCCCCGCCCCTCGGTCTGGCAACGAATGAAAAATTAATCACAATTGAGATCGGGGACGGCATAGGTGGGGCTTAATCTTTAGTTTTCTTTTATACTTAATACAAATAGTTTTCTTTGAACAACACAATTACTTAAGAACTTGTTTTAAATGGTAATTCCTTGAGAGAAATCAGTTTGGCAATTAAGCTCCGCCTCCCGGTTCACAACGAATAGAAAAATTAGTAACAATTGAGATCGGGTGGGTGGGCGGGGCTTATATTTTGCCTCTGTTTTTCTTAACATACGTAGTTTTGTTTTTATAAGAAGAAACTTTAACTATGTTTAAAGTAGTAAAAAAGAGGCAAAATACTAATTCAGTGACTTCTGCGCCCCGAAATCTACAAGGAAAAGCATTTAGTTAATTTTCGAAAATCGTCGAAAATGGGTCGAAATTTGCTAGTACTTGCCAAATAACGTACCCTCTAAGAAAATAAAAGGCGCGTAGGCCAGGTTAGTATTTGCCAAAATAAGACTTACTTTGGCAAATGACCTACTCTTTTAAGAAAAGGTATTTTTCCCGCCCACCCACCCTTTATTTTCTTAGAGGATATATCATTTTCAAAAATCAGTCTCATACTTGCCAAGATAAGATTGATTTTGGCAGATGACCTATTTTTTAATTTCTTAGAAGAATAAGTCATTGGCCAAAATGAGTCTTATTTTGGTAAGTGCTTGTTTATTTATAATATGAGAATGCGTATTTTTTATGTGGGAATAACGATGAAATTTGATCAGTTAATGAGACAATAAATTTTAAACACCTTTGAACTTTTCAAATTTGTAATGACATTTGAAGTTTGACGTTTCGACAGGTGCAGCAACATTATCAATAAAAATCCCAGTATCAATGATTTTACAACAATTAACAGGAAAAAATTGTCCCCGAATCAACATCTGTCTTTTTTATTTCCCGTTTTTGTTAGAAAAATAATATAATAAATTGATAATCAAACTATTTTGACGTTTCGAAACCGACACAGGAGTACCAACACAAGTCAATATCACATAACCTAAACACCATAAAAGTATACATTGTGCAGTAATTACAAGCCGAATTTCGTAAAACCGGCTTCAAGACCACGTTTTTTTGCAATAGCGACTTACTTTGGCCCATTTAAGCACCCACTCTACCTCGTACATAACCTCAAACATGTCTACGTTTTTTGTAACCACAGCGATTAATTCGGCTTTACGGTCCAGCGCGACGTTATTTAGCACCAGGGCGGCCACACTTGTACTTTTCTGATTCATTTTTGCATTCACTATATCGATTTGTTGCAGACCCGTTTAAACAAATGCAAAATAAACATTCGGAGCTTTAGCGACAGCCAGCGCCCCAAACTAGGCAAAAAGGAGGGGGGCAAAGGCATAGGGCCCATTTCGTGGCGCAATCTAGCCATTACGGGAGTACTAGGCAGCGGCTTGCTCGCCTTTATGTACTATATAAAAAAAGAAAAAGAAGAAGGTAAATTGCATTAAGTAGTGACAAAACGCCGTTATTTTTGTTTGTAGCGATGATGAGGGAGCGGCAGCGGATGTTAGGTAAAGCCAAAATCGGTGGCTACTTTGAGTTAGTCGATTCCAAACGCACCCCCCGCAAAAGCGACGAATTTTTGGGGAAGTGGTTGTTGATTTATTTTGGGTTTACCCACTGCCCGGATATTTGTCCAGATGAGCTTGAAAAAATGGCCGCCGTGATTGACGAGTTAGGTGCTATTACGTCTGCTTTGTTAATTCTATGTAATTGCGTTATTAGATTCCAGCAAGGATACGCCTCAAGTGCAGCCATTATTTATTTCCGTTGATCCGCAGAGAGACACGCCTGAAGTAGTTGGAAAGTACTGTGCGGAGTTCACGCCGAGACTCCTAGGTCTGACGGGAACGGTTGAGCAAGTCGCTAGGGCCTGTAAAGCATACAGGGTGTATTTTAGTGCAGGACCTAAAGATAAAGATAGTGATTACATAGTCTGTGTTTAATTCATCACTGTTTTGTTAGTAATTTTGTGGTTTGTAGGTTGACCACACGATTATTATGTACTTGGTGGACCCTGATGGCAAATTCGTGGATTACTACGGCCAGAATAAGAGCGCTTCGGAAATCGTGACGTCCGTGAAAGTAAATATGATGAAGTATGCCCAGATGAATGCCAGCAGTTGGTTTTAATTCCGTGGGGGATTTCCTTCAATTTTGTACATTTTTTTATAGTCTCAATTACATAGATTTTGGATAAACAGTGTGTTATTACATGTTATGTAAATGTTACTTAAAGATCCTTCAATTTTTCGCGCCGCTAGATTTATATTCATTCATAGGAAAAATTGTCGTAAATAAACAACAATTAAAGGAGTAATTCGTGAAATTATAAAATCGTGTGGTGGCTTGAGGTCTTATAAAAGGAGTGTGTTTTTATGAATAGTGGTGCAGTGTTCTGTATGTCGTGTGATTCATAATGAAAGTCCTGTTGTTGCTGGTTTTTGCAACTTTAAGCTTTCAATATGGGGACAGTGCGGTAAGATTGAGTTGTTTTTGGTTTATTTTTATTTTTTTGAGTTTGTTGTTGTAGATGAGTGAAGCCCAGATGAAAGCTGCGCTGAAACTGGTGCGAAATGTGTGCCAGCCAAAATTTAAAACCACTAACGGTTTGTTTTGTCAATAGTAGGTTCCAATTCAATTTTTTTTTTTTTTCGTTTTAGAACAAATCGATGCGATGCATAACGGCGACTGGGGGATGGAAAAAAACGCAAAATGTTACCTGTGGTGTATACTAAACATGCATAAACTGGTAAAACGGCGCAATTTTGTTAATATAGAAGTATAAGTCCGTGTTTCTGTAGATTAGCAAAGAAAACACGTTTGAATGGGAAACCGGTGTCGCCACACTTACAGCCCAAGCACCTGAATCTCTGAGACCTACAGCGGTTGCTTCAATTCAAAACTGCAAAGACGCTGTGAAGACACCTTCAGACAAGTGTTTGGCTGCGTACGAAATAGCGCATTGCATATATTTGGACAACCCTGAGGTAAAAATTACGACATTGTTGCATATTTTACACAGATTTTTATTTTCAGAAATACTTTTTGCCTTGATTGACGCACCCACGTTTGTGAATGTTTTAGTAAAATGGTGTCACATGCAAAACATTGTTTTACTTTACCGATCCCTTTTAGAATGTATGTCAAAAACGAAAATAAAAAAATTCAAACAAGCCGAGTTATGGAAATTATTGGTTGCATACCTTTGATTATTAACACACACAAGACGACTACGATGTTAAGAAAAACAGAGGCACAATATAACCCCGCCCACCCACCCGGTCTCAATTGTTACTAATTTTTCTATTCGTCGTGAAGCGGGAGGCGGAGCTTAATTGCCAAACTGATTTCTCTCCAGGAATTACCATGTAAAACAAGTTATTGTGTTGTTCAAAGAAAACTATATGTATTAAGTAAAAAAGAAAGCTAAATATTAAGCCCCACCTATACCCTCCCCGATCTCAATTGTGATGAATTTTTCATTCGTTGCCAGACCGAGGGGCGGAGCATAATTGCAAAATCCATATCTGGATGTCTAGTGTAAAAAATTTGTTTCGTTTTAATTTTTTGGAAAATTTTCACCATTTTTCCACAATTTAAATATAAAATAATATATAATAAATATATACAAATTTTTTTGAATTTCAATTTTCACAACGAGTAACATCAGCAATTTTGCCATTTTTCTGGATTTAGGTAACAATCTTCACGACAATATATTTAAAACGTTTATAAAATGGTAATTTTTTGCCGGGAAACATCGATTTTACACTTAAGCTCCGCCCCTCTGTCTGACAACTAATGAAAAATTCATCACAATTGAGCTTCGGGTGGGTGGGTGGGGCGTATTTTTTAGATTTTTTTTCTTAACATATGTATAAAACCAGTCCCAGGTGGAGTCTACAATAATCTAAAATGCTAGTACTTGTCAAGATAAGACTGATTTTGGCAGATGACTTATTCTTCTAAAAAAATAAAGGCTGGGCGGGTAGGGCTAGTACCATGGTAGAAGGAGACATGGTATAGGCATACGCATCGGGTGTGACGTCAAGTGGGGTGAAATTAGCGCGAAATTTAAAATACAATTCGTTATCCGACAACTAATTGACGTATTGGACAGAGCAATGACAACTCAAGCTGAAATTCCCTAGACTTCCCTAGCGAAGCTCACAAGAGTCACAAGGTCGTTGATGCCACCTAACGTCACAAATGGATGCGCAGACCATTTTTAAATTGGTACATCGGATGCCTATACCATGTCTCCTTCTACCATGGGCTAGTACTTGCTAAAAATAAAAAATTTAAAAATCAAAAAATGACAAATTGAAAAATCGGATAAATGAGAAAGCGGAAAATTGTACAACTGTATGATTGGAAAATCAAAAATTGAAATATCAAAAAATTGAGAAAAAAAAAACAAATCTTATAAAACCGAATTCGAAATTCCAGTTTTAATTTTTTTTTTTAGTTTTTAAATTTTTCAACTTTTGAGTATTTCAATTGATAATTTGTTTGACAATTTTGCAGTTTTTAATTCCAATCTTCTGATTTTTCAAGTTTTGAATTGTTTGATTTTTAATTTTTCAAGTTCTCAAGCTAAAATTTTTCCTTTTCACGATTTGTCATTTTTCGATGTTTTAACTGAAAGAACAAATTTATTCGAACCGAAATTTTGAAAAACCGAAAAATCCAAAAACTGATAATTAGAACCAAAATTTTCAGATGTTTTAAAGTTATGGTAAACATGGCAAATCGCTGAACAAAATTACTTTTTACTCCCTTCCAATTATCCGGTGACAAAAAATCAAAAATTAAAAAAAATAAACATCTATTTTCTCAATATTTTTAAAAATCAAATAATTGAGATATCGAAAAACTGCCAAAATTGTAAAATTAAAAGTTCGAAAGTTTTTTTCAGTTGTCCAGATAAATCAAAAATCGAAAGACAGATCAAAAAATGGGAAATTTGAAAGGCGAAAAATTGGAAAGTTGAAAAAACGAAAAACTGAAAAATCTAGCAGTACTCGCTACGATAAGACTGATTTTGGCAAATGATCTACTCTTTAAGAAAACAAAGGGCGGGTGGGTGCGGATAGCACTTGCCAAAATAAGACTCATTTTGGCCAATGACTTACTCTTCTAAGAAAATAAAAAATAGGTCATCTGCCAAAATCAATCTTATCTTGGCAAGTATGAGACTGATTTTTGAAAATGATATATCCTGTAAGAAAATAAAGCGTGGGTGGGCGGGAAAAATACCTTTTCTTATTTTCTTAGAGGGTACGTTATTTGGCAAGTATTAGCAAATTTCGACCCATTTTCGACGATTTTCGAAAGTTAACTAAATGCTTTTTCTTGTAGATTTCGGGGCGCAGAAGTCACTGAATTTGTATTTTGCCTCTTTTTTACTACTTTAAACATAATTAAAGTTTCTTCTTACGAAAACAAAACTACGTATGTTAAGAAAAACAGAGGCAAAATATAAGACCCGCCCACCCACCCGATCTCAATACTTACTAATTTTTCTATTCGTCGTGAACCGGGAGGCGGAGCTTAATTGCCAAACTGATTTCTCTCAAGGAATTACCATTAAAAACAAGTTCTTAAGTAACTGTGTTGTTCAAAGAAAACTATTTGTATTAAGTATAAAAGAAAACTAAAGATTAAGCCCCACTTATGCCGGCCCCGATCTCAATTGTGATTAATTTTTCATTCGTTGCCAGACCGAGGGGCGGGGCATAACGGCAAAACCCATATAAGAATGCGAGCGCAGCGAGCACGTTCAGGTGTTATTAAAAATTACTCGTTAGCGTCCCTGAGAAGCTAAATTATTAATAAAAAAAATTGTTTTTGTCTAAAAAATGTTTGTAATTATGTATTCAAATTGGGGAGACTCTAGCAGCCTAAAAACGACTCTTTCTTCAATACGTCTCAGACTAACTTAAAAAAAGGACGTTTAGAATGGGAGCGCAGGGAGCATGTTCAGATTTTATTTAAAAAATTGGTCTAAAGTTATAAGGTTTGCGGAAAAATGGGGTAAGCTGTTCAGAATTTTGAGATGACGTCATCAATTATTGGGAGGGGCTAAACGAATCAATTTTGATTAAATTGCAGAATATTGTCATACAATTTTAATTTTTTTCCAAAATATGGATGTTTATTGTAAAAACTTTGTTTCCTTTTCATTTTCTGGAAACTTTTCACCATTTTTCCACAACTTACAATATGAAATAGGAGTATAACAATTTTTTTAGAATTTCAATATTCACAACGAGTAACATAAACAATTTTGCCTTTTTTCTGGATATACGTGACAATCTTTTCACGACAATATATTTCAAACGTTTAAAATGGTAAATTTTTGTCGGGAAACATCGATTTTACAATTAAGCTCCGCCCCTCGGTCTGACAACGAATGAAAAATTCATCACAATCGAGGTTGGGGCGGGTGGGTGGGGTTTATTTTTTAGATTTGTTTTCTTAACATATGTATAAAATCAGTCCAAGGTGGAGTCTACAATAATTAATCTAAAAAATTATATAGTACCAAAGTCAAAAAGCAGTCATTGTCAACTCGCTCGTCAAACATATTTTCCCAAAAATAATGTTCTTTTAATGGCTTATGCCTATAATCTAACCATTTTTTTGGACCCATTGATTTTTAGCCCGAGGCAAAGCCGAGGGTTACCAAAATATTTACTCTGGGTAAAAAAATCAGACTCTTTCAATCTGCCTGAAATTGAGTTTTTGGGCTCATTTTGCATTGTAGAATTCATTTCTGGCATCAGTTGTTGAATATTAATTCGACTTCAATCGAAATTTCTTTCAAAACTCATCTCAAAAAATATTGTTCGAGTTTACGAATTCCTCATTTCGAAGCAGTTCAAGATATCGTCTTCCCGTTTCTACCGTTCGATTCCTTGGAGTTTTCTAATAATGACATATGATTTTTAGCCCGGATAAATCAACCGTTGAGGTTTGAGAGATTGATAAAACATACGATGTCATTTTTCTAGAGGTAGCTTAATTTAAAAAATCAAAAAAATTCAGGATGCTTCATAGGCCAATTCTGAGCTTGGATTCCTATTGAGAAGGTTCGAATTAGTAAAAAGGTTAGTTTTCAGGAAGCTGAGAGTTTTATTAATCGGGACAGTTAGACACAATCAAAACCAGAAATTTTCACGTGGTTGAAAATAAGGTGAAAAAAATCAGACTTTTCAATCGACTTGAAATTGTGTCTCCGGACTAATGTTGCGGTGCAGAATTCATTTCTGGTATCAGTTGTTGATTATTAATTCTATTTCAAACGAAATTCGTTTCAAAACTCATCTCAAAAAATATTTTTCGAGTTTACGAATTTATCATTTCGAAACGGTTCAAGATATCGTCTTTCTGTTTGTACCATTCGATTTCTTGGAGTTTTCTGATAATGACAGATATTTTTTTTGCCCAGATAAGTCAACCGTTGAGGTTTGAGACACCGATAAAGCAAACGATGTCATTTTTCTGTAGGTAGCATCATTAAAAAAATTAAAAAAAATCAGGAAGCTCCATTGTCCAATTCTGAACTTGGATTCCTAGTCAGGAGCTTCGAATTAGTAAAAGGATCAATTTTCAGGAAGCTGAGCCTTTATTGACCGGGACAGTTAGGAAAAAACCAGAAATTTTAGCGTGGTTGAAAATAAGGTGAAAAAATTGGACTTTTCAATCTGCCTGAAATTGAGTTTCAAGACTTAATTTTGTGGTGCAGAATTCATTTCTGGCATGAATTGTTAAATAATTTCAATCAAAATTTCTTTCAAAAGTCATCTCAAAAAATATTTTTCGAGTTTACGAATCCCTCATTTCGAAGCGGTTCAAGATATCGTCTTCCCGTTTCTACGGTTCGATTCCTTGGAGTTTTCTAATAATGACACATAATTTTTAGCCCGGATAAATCAACCGTTGAGGTTTGAGAGATTGATAAAACAGACAATGTCATTTTTCTAGAGGTAGCTTAATTTAAAAAATCAAAAAAATTCAGGATGCTTCATAGGCCAATTCTGAGCTTGGATTCCTACTCAGAAGGTTCGAATTAGTAAAAAGATTAATTTTCAGGAAGCTGAGAGTTTTATTAATCGGGACAGTTAGAAACAGTCAAAACCCGAAATTTTCATAAGATGAAAAAACCTGACTTTTCAATCTGCGTGAAATTGTGTTTCCGGACTAATTTTGCGGTGCAAAATTCATTTCTGGTATCAGTTGTTAACTATTAATTCTATTTCAATCAAAATTTCTTTCAAAACTCATCTCAAAAAATATGTTTCGAGTTTACGAATTTATCATTTCGAAATGGTTCAAGATATCGTCTTTCTGTTTGTGCCATTCGATTCCTTGGAGTTTTCTGATAATGACAGATATTTATTTGGCCCAGATAAGTCAACGGTTGAGGTTTGACACATCAATAAAGCAAACGATCTCATTTTTCTGTAGGTAGCATCATTTAAAAAATCAAAATAAATCAAGAAGCTCCATAACCCAATTGAGTCACCCTTATAAAAATTATGAAGTATAGTCATAATATTTTGCATTATTTAGACATGACGTCATCAATTTTTAGGAGGGGCTAAACGAATAAATTTTGATCAAATTTCAGAATATTGTCATACAATTTTGAATCTTTTCTCAAGATCTGAATGTTTAGTAAAAAAAAATTTGTTTCGTTTTCATTTTCTGGAAAATTTTCACCATTTTTCCACAATTTATAGTATGAAGTATAACAATTTTTTAGAATTTCAATATTCACAACGAGTGACATCAGCAATTTTGCCTTTTTTCTGGATATACGTAACAATCTTTTCAACAATATATTTAAAACGTTTAAAATGGTAAATTTTTGTCAGGAAACATCGATTTTACAATTAAGCTCCGCCCCTCGGTCTGACAACGAATGAAAAATTCATCACAATTGAGATTCGGGTGGGTGGGTGGGGCTTATTTTTTGGATTGTTTTTCTTAACAAATATAGTTTCCTTTTAACAAAATTTAAAAACATGTTTCACATAATAGTTTCTTGTAGAGAAATAAGCATTTTGCAATAAACTCCGCCCTTCGACTAACAACGAATAAAAACGTTAGCACGATTGAAATGCGGGTGGGTGGGCGGGGTTTATATTTTGCGTTTGTTTTTCTTAATATATGCACGTCCTTTTGCTTTCACGACAAGAGACTGAAAATATGTTTAAAAGGGTAAATTAATAGAGAAATGTATGGGATAAAATTTACCATTTTAAACATGTTTTCAGTTTCTTGTTACGGAGGAAAAACAATATATATTAAGAAGAAAAAATGCAAAACATAAGCCCCACCCACCCACCCTATCTCAATTGTAACGCATTTTTTTTGTTCGTCGTTAGTCAAAGGGGGCGAAACTTAACTGCAAAATCCGTATTTTTCTACAAAAATTACCATGTGAAACATGTTCTTCAGGGGTGGTGTTGCTCGGAAAAAACTACATGTATTAAATAAAAAAAAGAAGAAAAAAACAAAATATAAGCCCCACCCATCCGTCTGGATCTCAATCCTGATGAATGAATTTTCCATTCATTGTCGGACTGGGGGGTGGGCCGTAATTACAGAATCCATATTTCCTCGCCAAAATTTATCATTTTAAACGGGTTTTAAGTTTCTAGGAAATCATTACAATCGAGACAGGGTGGGTGGGCGGGGCTTGTATTTTGCCCCTGTTTTTCTTAACACACATAGTATTTTTTGAACAACCCGTTACTCAAAAACATGTTTTTAATTTCTTGAAAAGAAATAAGTATTTTGCAGTTAAGCTCCGCCCCCTTGCTTAACGGTGAATAAAAAAATTCATCACAATTGAGATAGGGCGGGTGGGCGGGCTTAAATTTGCCTTTTTGTTTTAAGTATTTTAAGCATGTTTTAAGTGTCTTGTGGTGAAAAGATGGCTATATATATTAAGGAAATAAAGGCAAAATATAAGTCCCGCCCACCCACCCGAACTCATTTGTGATGACATTTCTTCATTCATCGTGAGCCAAGAGGGTGGAGCTTAAAATCCTTATTTCTCTACAAGAAATTATCATGTAAATAAAACATGTTTTTGAGTTTTGTGTTGTTCAAAGATTATTATGTATGTTAAGCAAAATTTGGTAAAGATAAAATAAAAAAATTTGATTAACGATTTATCATTCTTACGATACCCTAAAACGTTTCCAAAATTTCAGAGCAGTTTCAAAGTTAAATTGCAAGATGTTTTAATTTTGATTTTTTTTCTCAAAAAATCTGTATGTGTAGGAAAAAAAATCAACAGGGGTTTATAAACTACATGTGCATGAGTATCTTATTTAATAAAATAAATAATTGTTAAAAAAAAGTAGAGACACAAAAAATCGAAAATAAATGCAATTCGTTGTCAATTCTCTTTTTGAATATCCCGCCAATTGTACGAATGCGCACACGCACACGTCAAACGTCACTTGTCAACTCCATTCTCTTTTCAAGTTTATTGTGGTGGAGTGTCGTCTATCTGTGAGTATTCTTTATGAAATATCTAAGTCATCTTGTGCAATTTTGTGAAATAGTTGCTTTAAACTCTTTCAAACACCAACACCCATCCCGACTTTGCAAATAATTCAGTGTTATTTCGTTTCCAGATCAAGATGGGTCGACGTCCAGCGAGATGGTAGGTTATGTTTCATCTTCTCTGGAAAATTTTGTTTACCATGTTTTAATTCACACTAAATATGAACCCTCTCTTTCCAGCTATCGCTACTGCAAGAACAAACCCTACCCGAAATCGCGTTTCTGCCGCGGCGTCCCCGACCCCAAGATCCGCATCTTCGACCTCGGCAAGAAAAAAGCCACCGTCGACGACTTCCCCCTGTGCGTCCACTTGGTCTCCGACGAATATGAACAGCTCAGCTCCGAGGCGCTGGAAGCCGGGCGTATTTGCGCCAACAAATACCTGGTCAAGAACTGCGGGAAAGACCAGTTCCACATCCGCATGCGGCTGCACCCCTTCCACGTGATCCGCATCAACAAGATGTTGTCGTGCGCTGGGGCCGATAGGCTCCAGACCGGGATGCGCGGGGCCTTCGGCAAGCCGCAGGGCACCGTCGCGCGGGTCAACATCGGCCAGCCAATCATGAGTGTGCGATCTAGCGACCGTTTCAAGGCCCAAGTCATCGAGGCTTTGCGGCGCGCCAAGTTCAAGTTCCCCGGTCGCCAGAAAATCTACGTCTCCAAGAAGTTTGGATTCACGAAATATGACAGGGAGGTGTACGACGACTTGAAGGAGAACGGGAGATTGGCGCCTGATGGCTGCAATGTGCAGTACAGACCGGAACATGGACCGCTATCCGCGTGGAAAAAGGTACAGGAGGAGCTTTTGGCTATCTAATTTGTACGTTTTTATTTCTGAATAATAAAAAAAAAACATGTTGAAAAAACAATTTATTACACCTTAGAAAAATTATTCTTGATTTGACACTTATTCTAACGAGGCGAGGTGTTCCTGGAACCATAACGCCGAGTTGATGAGGTTATCCATTTCGTTGGGGATTTGACTCAGGGGGTGATTGTCGTCGTACAAGTTGAGCCTAACTTTAGCCCCGTTTGCTTTAAGTCGGGTGTAATATTCCAACCCTTGATGCGCGGGCACCCGGAGGTCCTTGGAACCGATTTGTAGCATCGTGGGGGCTTTTACTTGATGCGCGGTCTCAATGGGTGATGCACGTCGCATCGCTAAAAGCGCCTCTTCGCTGGGTTTGCCAATCTGGGTGTATTTGAAACCCGCTTCCACGTACGTCCAGTCAGGTATATCGGAAATCGTGCTCATGGAAACTACATCAATCACGGGGTTTCGTGCCACCACGGCCTTAAACTTATCGGGGTATTTTCCACTTAGGTGCGCCACGAGAAAACCTCCGTGTGAACCCCCAAACAAAACCAACCCGTTTGGGTTCAAGAACGGGTACTTCTGAAGGGCGGTATCTGCGGCTAGAATACAATCAGAGACGTCCGTTTGGCCAATTTTGCCCAGAAGGAACTCCACGCTGTCTTGCCCCGCCCCAATGGAGCCTCGATAGTTGACGAAAATTATACCAAAACCTGGAGATTGTTTTTAATTTATGATTTGTACACAAATTTGTGTTTACCTAGCGATAAAAACAATGACGATTCGAGGAACATGTTATTGGCGAAGGCGCTATGGGGGCCCCCATGGGGCCACACGATGAGGTTTGTGGATTTTTCGGGGCCGGTTTTAGGACCGAGATAGATAGCGGAGAAAGATTCTAAAAAAGTCCATTACAAAAATCGTTTTTGGGTTAAAAAAAAAACGTACTGACGCTGTCGTCCGTTGATTGGTGTAAATCCAGATACTCATAAACGCAGTTTTCGAAACCTTCGACCACTTGACTGGTGGTGAGTTCTACCCAGTTCAACGACTCCTCGGACTCTTTTGGGGGTAGTTTGGAGATCGCTAATTTATCTGGTTTCAGGTAATTGCGACGATTTACCAAAATTATATCATTTACAACGTCTAGAACTATTTGGCTGCCGTCGTTGTACATCAGTTCGGTGATTTTTCCGGTATCTATAATAGCGTTATTGTTTTCCTTTTTTATATTTGTATAAAATATTATAATACCGATTTCGATGACGTAGGTGTTCACAGTATTTTTTTGGTTGGTTGATAACACCAAGCGATTGCCACTAGCGAAACAGCGTTTAATAAACCCTGTGTTATACAGGCCGTGAAATTTGGTCCCGGAATTGGTTTCAGTTTCGCTTCTTACTACATCCACAACGGTTGTTATGGTGGGCTGAATAAAAAAATTATAGCGCATTTTCTACACAGTTTTGGATTATTATGATTGTAAAAAAAACCTAGTGCGGTCCTGCTAACCACCAGGTCCGCTAATAAATAAATTTTACGCAACTTTTAACAACTAAATGAGTCGATTTATAAACTTGCCGTTGGGTTTCCAACCAATCAAATTGCGGTTATAATTTTTCCAAAAGTAGGATTTGTTTTATTATATTTCAAGGGAGAGGGAAGTTCTGTCGAAATAACTGTAGGAAAGTATCGTTTTTGCAATTAGGCTCCGCCCCTCGGTCTAACAACGAATAAAAACATCATCACAATTGAGATAGGGCGGGTGGGCGGGGCTCATACTTCGGCCATTTTTCTTAATATGTGTAGTCTTCCTTTCACAACAAGAAACTTAAAACATGTTTAAAATTGCAAATTTGTATAGGGAAATATCGATTTTGCAATTACGCCCCTCGGTTTACTACGAATAAAAAAATAATCAGAATTGCGACGGGGTGGGTGGGTGGGGCTTATATTTTGCCCTTTTTTTCTTAATAATATACATTGCCATTTTTTCATAAGAAGAAACTTAAAAGATGGCTTTTTTGCAAGGAAATATGGATTTATTTCCTTATGCAAATTTTCTATTTTAAACATGTTTTAAGTTTCATGTTGTGAAAAAAAGTCTACACATATTAAAAAACAAAAAGCCAAAATGTAAGCCCTCCCACCCGCCCTATTTCAATTGTGATGATTTTTTTTATTCGCTGTGAACTAAGAGGGCGGAGCTTAACTGCAAAATACTTATTTGTTTACAAGAAATTAAAAACATGTGTTTTGAGTATCGGGTTGTTCAAAGAATACTAAGTAATTAAAAAAAAAATGTGAAATATAAACCCCGCCCACCCACGCTAAAAAAATTAAAATTTGGAAAACTAAAGAATGGAAAATTTGAAAATTGGAGAAATCGAAACGTAAAATAAAATAAATAGTAAAACCTGTACAATGTAAAAACTGAAAAATAGAAAATTCGAAAAATAATCAGAAAATCGAAAAGTAAAAAATTGCAAAATCAAAAAATAAATAAAAAATAGATTATTGAAAAATCTTCAATTGAAATTGGAAAATTCAAAAAATCAAAAATTGAAGAATTGAAAACTGGAAAAATCGTGAAATTTGTAAGGAAACAAACTGAAAATTCGAATAACGAAATATCGAATCGGATTATTCAAATGAAAAAATAAAAATCTGAAAAATCGGAAAATAGAAAATTCGAAAATATAAAAGTCGATAATCGAAAATCCGAAAACTCAAAAATTCGAAAATCAAGATGTGGAAAAATCGGGAAATCAAGAAATCCAAGATTCGAAATATAGAAAAAACGAAATGTCTAAATTGAAAAATCGAAAATTCAAAAATAGAATAATCGTACCGTCGAAAAATGGAAAAACCAAAAAATCGAAAAATCGAAATTAAAAAATTGAAAATTCGAATATAGAAAATTCGAAATTTTGAAAATTGAAAATTTAAAAAATCGAATTGACCAAAATCGAAAAATAAAAAAAATGAAAATTCTAATATCGAAATGTAAAAATATTGAAAAGCTTAAAAACGTAAGAATGGAAAAATAGAAAATTCGAAAAATCAAAAAGTCAAAAATTGGATCATTCAAATGAAAAAGCAAAAATTCGAAAATATAAAAGTTGAAAATCGAAAATCCGAAAACTCAAAAACTGGAAAATCAAGATTTCGAAAAATCGAGAAATCCAAGAATCGATATATAGAAAAACCACATATCGAAAGTCGAAAAATTGAAAATATTGAGGAACGAAAGTCGGAAAATTGAAAATCCGATGAAATAAAATATTCGGAAAATTGAAAATTAAAAAAACGGAAATATTCGAAAAACGAAATAATGTAGAAAAAAGAGAAAATTGGAAAAATAAAAAAATCAAAAATCCAGAAATCTGGAAGGAAATAAGGAAAATTCGAATAACGATACAATATCATAAATTCGATTATATAAAAGTTGAAAATCGAAAATCTGAAAACTGAAAAACTGGAAAATCAAGATTCGAAATATAGAAAAAACCATATATCGAAAGTCGAAAAAACTGAAAACTCAAAGATCGAAATTTCGAAAATTGAAAATTCGAAATATCGAGGGACGAAAGTCGAAAAATCGAAAATCCGAAGAATGAAATATTCACAAAATTGAAAATTAAAAAAGCGGAAATTTTTGAAAAACTATAGGATGGAAAAATGAAAAATTTGAGAGATCTAAAAATAAAGAATTCAAGATCGAAAACTCAAGAAATCAAAAAATCGAAAAGCAAACATTTTAAGAGCAAGAAACTGAAAAATGGAACATTTGAAAATCGAAAAATAAAAAAACGAGAAACGAAAGTCGGAAAATCGAAAATCCGATGAAATAAAATATTCGGAAAATTGAAAATTAAAAAACCGGAAATATTCGAAAAACTAAATAATGGAAAAATTAAAAATTGAGGAAATCGAAAAATAAAGAATCGGAAAATCGAAAAGTAGAAAGACTTAGGGGATCGAAAATCGAAATCTCTGGAAATCAAAAAAACGAAAAGCAAAAATTTGAAAAATGGAAAATTTTAAAATGTAAAAGTCGATAATTGAAAATCCGAAAACTCAAAAATTCGAAAATCAAGACGTTGAAAGATCGGGAAATCAAGAAATCCAAGATTCGAAATGTAGAAAAAACGAAATGTCTAAATGAAAAATCTAAAATTCAAAAATGGAATTATCGTACCGTCGAAAATAGGAAAACCGTAAAATCGAAATTAAAAGATTGAAAATTCGAATATGGAAAATTCGATATTTTGAAAATTGAAAATTTAAAAAATCGAACAGCGGAAAAATTGAAAACTTAAATATCGAAAATTCGAAGAATGAAATAGTCACAAAATTGAAAATTAAAAAAGCGGAAAATTTGAAAAACTACAGAATGGAAAAATTAAAAATTTTAAAAATCAAGAAACTGAAAAATGGAAAATTTGAAAATCGAAAAATAAAAAAAATTAAAATTCTAATATCGAAAAATCGAAATGTAAAAATATTGAAAACGTAAGAATGAAAAAATAGAAAATTCGAATAACGAAATATCAAAAATTCGATTATTCAAATGAAAAAGCAAAAATTCGAAAAATTCGAAAATATAAAAGTTGAAAATCGAAAACCCGAAAACTCAAAAACTGGAAAATCAAGATTTAGAAAAATCGAGAAATCCAAGAATCGAAATTAGAAAAAAATATAGAAAAACCAAAATATCCAAAGTCGAAAAATTGAAAATTCTAAAATCGAAAATTATGGAAAATTCGAAAATATTGAGGAACGAAAGTCGGAAAATCTAAATTAAAAAATTGAAAATTCGAAATTTTGAAGATTGAAAATTTAAAAAATCGAACAGCGGAAAAATTGAAAATTCGATGACCGAAATCGAAAATTCGAATAATTGAAAAATAAAAAATTTGAAAATCGCAAAATTGAAATTTAAAAATTGAAAACTCAAATATCGAAAATCGAAAATTTGAAGAATGAAATTTTCACAAAATTGGAAATTAAAAAAGCGGAAATATTTGAAAAACCACAGAATGGAAAAATTAAAAATTTGAGAGATCTAAAATTAAAGAATTGAAGATCGAAAACTCAGGAAATCAAAAAATTGAAAAGCAAAAATTTAAAAAATCAAGAAACTGAAAAATGGAAAATTTGAAAATCAAAAAATAAAAAAAAAATTGAAATTTTAATATCGAAAAATCGAAATGTAAAGATATTGAAAAGCCTAAAAACGTAAGAATGGAAAAATAGAAAATTCGAAAAATCAAAAATCGAGAAATCTGGAAGGAAACGAGGCAAATTCGAAAATATAAAAGTTGAAAATCGAAAATCCGAAAACTGAAAACCTGGAAAATCAAGATTTCAAAAATCGAGAAATCCAAGAATCGAAATATAGAAAAAACCATATATCGAAAGTTGAAAAATTGATAATTCCAAAATCGGAAATTATTAAAAATTCGAAAATATTGAGGAACGAAAGCCGGAAAATCGAAAATCCGATGAAATAAAATATTCGGAAAATTGAAAATTAAAAAAACGGAAGGAAATATTCGAAAAACTAAATATGTAATGGAAAAATTAAAAATTGAGGAAATCGAAAAATGAAGAATCGGAAAATCGAAAAGTAGAAAGACTTCGGGGATCGAAAATCGAAAACTCAGGAAATCAAAAAAACGAAAAGCAAAAATTTGAAAAATAGAAAATTTTAAAATATAAAAGTCGATAATCGAAAATCCGAAAACTCAAAAATTCGAAAATCAAGACGTTGAAAAATCGGGAAATCAAGAAATCCAAGATTCGAAATGTAGAAATAACGAAATGTCTAAATTGAAAAATCTAAAATTCAAAAATGGAATGAATAATCGTACCGTCGAAAATGGGAAAACCGAAAAATCGAAATTAAAAAATTTAAAATTCGAATATGGAAAATTGAAAATTTAAAAAATAGAACAGCGGAAAAATTGAAAACTCAAATATCGAAAATTCGAAATATCGGGGGACGAGTCGAAAAATCGAAAATCCGAAGAATGAAATAGTCACAAAATTGAAAATTAAAAAAGCGGAAATATTTGAAAAACTGCTGAATGGAAAAATTAAAAATTTGAGAGACCCAAAAATAAAGAATTGAAGATCGAAAACTTGGGAAATCAAAAAATCGAAAAGCAAAAATTTTAAAAATCAAGAAACTGGACAATGGAAAATTTGAAAATCGAAAAATAAAAAAAAAATAAAATTCTAATACCGAAAAAGCGAAATGTAAAAATATTGAAAAGCCTAAAAACGTAAGAATGGAAAAATCAAAAACCAAAAAAATCAAAAATCGAGAAATCTGGAAGGAAACAAGGAAAATTCGAATAACGAAATATCAAAAATTCGAAAATATAAAAGTTGAAAATCGAAAATACGAAAACTCAAAAACTGGAAAATCCAGATTTCGAAAAATCGAGAAATTCAAGAATAATATAGAAAAAATCCATATGTCGAAGGTCGAAAAATTGAAAATTCTAAAATCGAAAATTATTGAAAATTCGAAAATATTGAGGAACGAAAGTCGGAAAATCGAAAATCCGATGAAATAAAATGTTCGGAAAATTGAAAATTAAAAAAAACCGAAATATTCGAAAAATTAAATAATGGAAAAGTTAAAAATTCTAAAACTCAGGAAATCAAAAAATCGAAAAGCAAAAATTTGAAAAATGGAAAATTAAAAAAAAAATGTAAATTCGAATATCGAAAAATCGAAATGTAACATTATTAGAAAACTTAAAAACTAGAAAATTCAAAAATCAAAAATCGAAGAATTGAAAAGTCGAAAAATCGTGGAATACTCGTGTGTAAGGAAACAAACTGAAAATTCGAATATGTATCGAAATCTCCAAAAATCCGATAATTCAAATGAAAAAACAAAATTTCGAAAAATCAGAAAACAGAAAATTCCAAAATATAAAAGTCGAAAATCGAAAAACCGAAAGCTCAAAAACTGGAAAATCGAGATTTCAAAAATTCGGAAAGTCGAAAAATGGAAAAATCGAAAAGTTTAAGGATTGAAAATTTGAGTACCGGAAATCGAAAACTCTAGAAATCCAAAAATGGGAAAATTACAGAAAATTCGGAAAAGAGGAATGGAGAAATTAAAAATCGAAAAGCAAAAATTGAAGTCTAAAAACTGTAGAGTGGAAACATTTAAAAATCGAAATTTCGAAAATCGAAAAAATTAAAATTGAAGAATTGCAAATCTGAAAAATCGGGAAATCGAAAAGAAAACAAATTGGAAATTTGAATATCGAAAATTCGATGAATTAAATATTTGAAAAATCAAAATTCGAAAAATAGAGAAAAAGAAATATCGAAAGTCGAAAAATTTAAATTTCTAAAACTCGAAAATCGTAAATTCGAAACATGGGAAAATTAAAAAATCAAGAAATCGAAATTAAAATTTGAAAATTAAAAAAAGGAAATATTCGAAAAACTAAAGAATGGAAAAATCCAAAATTGTAGAAATCGAAAAACAAAAATTCCGGAAAATCGAAAAGTAGAAAAACTGAAAATCCGCAGATTCAAGTTCGAAAACTCAGGAATCAAAAAATCGAAAAGCTTTAAAAACTTGAAAAATCAAAAAACCGAAAAATGGAAAAATTGAAAACCGAATAAAAAAAATGAAAATTCGAATATCGAAATGTAAAAATATTTCACGTGGTAATTTTTCGTAGAAAAATACGGATTTTACAATTAAGCTCCGCCCCTTGGCTTACGACGAATAAAAAAAATCGTCACAAACGAGACAGGGTGGGTGGGCGGGGCTTATATTTTGTCTTTTTTTTCTTAACATTTGTAGACTTACTATCAACGGCAACTCGACAGCAAGTTTATAAATCCCACTTTAAAAACTAAAATGAAATGTTTTCACCCTCTTTTTGCCTCACCTTTTCACTTAGCGGCAACGCCGCCTTCATTAGCGCCATTGCGCAGTGATGTGGCCCCTCTGCGTCACGTTGCAACCAAATCAAAAACTTACCATCTGGGGTAAAAATGGGTGACTTGACAGCTTTACCTTCCAGCGCAAAACGACCTAGAAAAAGCCATTCACCAAAGAAAACCCAATTTTTCCCAAAAACTACCATAATTCCCGTCGAAATCCAAAGTGAAAATCGTACTGAGTCTGTTTGTACAATAAATTAAGCCGTATTTTCTAGGCTCTGTGGTATAGGCAACCCCCACAACGTAAGTCCCGTCTGGAGAATAAACCACTTGAGCGGGACAAACATCCTCAGGGACCCCAGACAAAATTTCAACTTTATCCTTCTCAAGGTTGTACTCAACAATGACGGAAGTTTTTTTGCCCACGAGCTGTTCACCCCAGTCTTGTCTGTACAAATATTCGTCCCCTTTGGTTTTGGGTTTCTCGGGTTCCGTGTTCTCGCCTTTGGGTCGCTTCACGCTCCTCTTGTAAAAGGGTTCAGATTTTGGCACTTTGAGTTCAGCTAAGTAGAGAAGTTTGGTTTCATCTGGAGACCACTCAAACGTGCGGAACTCCCCTGAAAAATTGGTTAGTCGCAGGGTGCGGGTAAGTAAATTAAGTACCGTCGGTGTAGACATTCCCGTGCACATCCAGCTCCAATAAATCGACGACGTGAGCGAGATTGTGGTTCTGCCAAATTTCCAAAAATTGTTTCTCGCTGGAACCGCGCACGATGGCTTTGTAGCGCTCCGACGGGGACACCGCTGACAATAACCTAACGACAGTTGATTAAAAAGCGCTATGGGGGTAAATCGTGGGGGCTTACTCAGTGGTTACATCTAGAGGTAGCGACTCATACTTTTTGCTCAGATCTGTCGAAATTCCGATGCTTCGCATGAATTTCGTGTTCTCGCTCTTTTCCAAGTTCCTCTGCGACCAGACCGTGTTAATAATCGTGGCGTCGTTCGCCAGCTTTGCCCCCACCAAACTGGGAATGGAGCACAATGATCTATAAATTTTGACCACTTTATCTGCCTGAAACGACTCGGTTTAGCGAGTTTTCTACAATTTTAGCTACTCACGTTCGTCGACATGCTGCTAAGTTGCTTGTAATGTATCTAAAAATAAACAAATTCGTTACTGAGAAATTGAGGTTAGGTTTTCGTCGAGTGTTAGTTAGCGTAATTACCACTTAATGAAGCTCATCGGCACGTTTCCTTTCGCTCTCTAGCGTGATTTATGGCCGTTTCATTCAAAAAAAGCGATTTTAAGACGAATTTGGAGGTCCGTTTGTTGTTGTTTTCGTTTTCGTCGGGTTTGCCACAATGCGCATTGACAGTTGCGTTTGGGGGATTTCGCGAATTTTTTGTCTGTTGGCAGTTGTGGATCGCGAACCGAAAAAGAAATGTCGTCACAAAATTACACATGTGTAGAATTTTGCATATAACTGAGATTATTCCGTAAGTTGTCCTGTGATAAGATAAAATAGTGTTGCGTCCTTATCGAGAAACCATCATGTGTCGTGATTTGTTTTGATGTGTGTGTGATAAGAGTTCGTGATCTCGTATCGTTACACCCCTCGGAGGTCTAAGAGGTCGATCGGATTAATTGATTTTGTCGGATTCTGGCTGCATTTTCGCGATGATTATGAAACAGGAAGAAATTAGATGAACCGTAAGAATTGCGAGTGAGTATGAGGTGGTTTTCCGCATTTTGGCAGGTCGCCAGGTACAAACGAGCACACCCACTAACACCTGCTCGCTCAATTCGTTTATCCCATTTATTTGCCCATTTTTCGCCTCCGGTGCACTTGCACACCTTGCAACCCGAGACAATCGATTTTTCCGAGCCGTTAGCGATCCCAATTAAAAATAGATGTTCTATTTTCGATTTTGGAGACAGGCGGTTTGTTGTTTCAATTAACACCCAGCTTATCACACTATCACCACTTTCATAACGATTTTCTGTCGGGGTGAGTATGGCAGTTGATTAATCTTTTCATGGAAATGTGACGGCCCGTCGAAAACCCAAACCCACTTCCGCCTCTTACAGGAAAGCACCAGGGAAGCGGTGTCCCGTTTGGTGGTTTGTGTCCCACACCATTGTGAATTCGTTGTTTGTTTAGAGGCTAAGAAGCGATGACTGGCACTTGGATTGTTACTATTAATCCATTATGTAAAAGCAAACATCGAACTTAAACAACTTTCAAGGAAAAATTAGATTTATAATGTTCGGGGGGCGAATTTGAAATTTTCCGGACGATACTTAAACGAATTGACGAAAATTGGCGCCATGTAATGAAGTACGAATGCTTGCAATAAACGCCTCGTTAAGGTGGTTTTGTAAATAGTTGTTAAGCCAATTTAGTGGCTTTAAATTTGCCGAGGTTCGATCGTTTTCTCAGTTATGATATGAGAATGCGACTTTATCGGAAATACCCATTTATGTTTGGTTAATATTTTAAAAGGAGAATTTCTCTGCAGAGGGGGAGCGAAATAGGGTCATTACAATAAAATTGATTTTCAGTGTATGATAGTATTTTTCTTTTCATTGTAATACACAGTCCACCGACAACGTAAGTTCGATTTTGTGTGTGTGGTTTGTTATTTAAGTGTGAATTTTAATGGCACAATCAAAATCATGCACTAACAAGAAGGTAGTTTTGAATGAGAGGTGACAGCAGCTGATGGTTTTCGACCAAACCAGTTTTAGTGATAACGCTCAGGCTTTTAACATTCTAAAGACTAATGGTACTGATAGTGGAAATATTGTTATTTAAAATCTTTTTTAGAAAGAAGACAACAAATTTGGCTGTTGTGATTGTCAAAGGAGTAAAAAATACTTTTACTACTCCTGTTAGTGAAAGTGGAATTCTCTCATGTTTACTTTAGATGAAAATATAATTTCATTGTTGGTGACTTTTCACTAATGTTTGTATAATTGAAATATTTAATCGATAAATTTGCATTTAATTGTAAATAAATTTTAAATCGACGAACTGAAAACAGCACAAGTTGTTATGTTGTAGCTGCTGTCACTTCAGCGACATAGCGTAACGAATTTCATATGACGAATTTTCAATTTAATTAACGAATTGTTTAAATTAATCTGTTAAAAATGCAATATTTATCAAGAAATTACTCATTTCCTTTACATTTCTTAACAACTCCGTAACTCGTATATTTAACTAACACATTACGAATTTTATTTCCCCATAAACATTGTCACTTTGAAATTTCCCGATGTCGCGGTGTTCCCAACTCCAGCCCACCATTTCCAAGTGGTTCGCCATCTAGACCCGCATCCACACCGACTCCTCAAATAAACAAATAACCAAAAACAGCCCGTGGCCAAACCCATGTTATAAAAATGCTCATTCCCCGCTTGCCTACCACCTCTGTGACGTTTGTCGTGTGTTGTCCAGGTCTGGTGTTGGTGTTGTCCTCTCCGGTAGATCCTCGCAATGGACGGCGTCGGCGGGCGAAGACGCATCGCGGCCAAGTCGTCTGCGGAGGACCAGGCGCTCGATCAGATCGCCAAAGAGGTAAGCGTCCATCTGGCCGTCCGTATTGTAAGACGTACACAAATTTAGAAACGCCGCCGATGGAACGAACGGATATAGGTGAGGATGCATCGGAGACGAGGAATGAAAATAAGGCGATCCGAGGGCTATTTTTGTAACGGGAACGCAAGTATATGAGCGCGTCAGCTGCGTGTGACTGCACTTTTCCGCGGGACGTGGAAAACGGACGCGTTTTCGGAAAGTCGGGACCGGAGACGGGCTTCAACGTGGACGCGACGAAAGGCGATTTTGTGGTTTGTTGATCGAACGGTGGGCTAATTTTAGATTTTTTAAGATTGTGGTGTGTAGGTGGAAAACGGTCAGCAAAGTGTGTTCGGCTCCCACCGACACTTTGATGACGTCGTCGCAGAAGTTTGCTAAGTGCTGAATCTCGCGTGAAATTTATCCGAAATTATTAAACTTCAAATTTAAAAAATTGTATTTTTCCCGATTTTCATGGACTTTGATTTTTCTAGCAGCCTTAACCCTTTTCTTTATTAGAAAAAATCTGCGGCTTGATCGTGAATTCCGAAATTTACCGAAATCGTGTCCTCTGACTCTGAAACCTAAACTAGCCAAATTTGGTACATTTTTGCGTACTATTTTGAAATTCGTAATTTTTGTTCTCTTGCTTTTCGATTATTTTTTGATTTTTTTTTTCCTTGACAGAGTTTCCTTTCAACAACATGTTACTTAAAAACACGTTTCATATAATAGTTTCTTGTAGAGAAATAAACATTTAGCAGTAAACTCCGCCCTTCGACGCACAACGAATAAAAACGTCACAATTGAGATGAGGTTACGTGGGCGGGGTTTGTATTTCACTTTTTTTTCTTAATATGTACACGTACTTTTCTTTCCACGACAAGAAACTGAACACATGTTTAAACGGATAAATTTGTAGAGGAGTGTATGGAGAAAATTGACCATTTTAAACATGTTTTCAGTTCCTTGTTATGGAGAAAAAACAATATATATTAAGAAGAAGAAAAAATTCAAAACATAAGCCCCACCCACCCACCCTGTCTCTATTGGGACGCTTTTCTTTATTCGTCGTTAGTCAAGAGGGGCGGAGCTTAATTGCAGAATCCGTATTTTTCTAAAAGAATTACCATTTTAAACGTGTTTTAAGTTTGTAAGGATAAAAAAAATCATCACAATTGAGACAGGGTGGGTGGGCGGGGTTTATATTTTGGCTTTTTTTCTTAACGCACATAGTATTCTTTGAAAAACCCGATACTTAAAGCAAGTTATTAATTTCTTGTAAAGAAATAAGTAATTTGCAGTTAAGCTCCGCCCCCCCTTGGTTCACGGCGAATAAAAACAAATCATCACAATTGAGAAAAGGCGGGTGGGCGGGCTTACGTTTTGTCTTTTTGTTTTAATATATGTGTAGACGTTTTTTGACAATATGAAACTTAAAACATGTTTAAAATGAAAAATTTCTATAAGAAAATATCGATTTTGCAATTACCATTTTAAACATGTTTTCAGCTCCTTGTTATGAAAAAAAAAAAATATATATATTAAGAAGAAAAAAAAAATGCAAAACATAAGCCCCACCCACCCACCCTGTCTCAATTGTGACGCTTTTTCTTTATTCGTCGTTAGTCAAGAGGGGCGGAGCTTAATTGCAAAATGCATATTTCCATAACAAAAATTTACCATTTTAAACGTGTTGGAAGTTTCTAAGAATAAAAAAATCATCACAATCGAGACAGGGTGGGTGGGCGGGGCTTATATTTTGCCCTTGTTTTTCTTAACACACATAGTATTTTTTGAACAACCCGATACTCAAAAACATGTTTTTAATTTATTGTAAAGAAGTAATTTGCATTTAAGCTCCGCCCCCTTGGTTCACGGCGAATAAAAAAATCTTCACAAATGAGTAAGGGCGGGTGGGCGGGCTTACGTTTTGTCTTTTTGTTTTAATATATGTGTAGACGTTTTTTGACAATATGAAACTTAAAACTGTTTAAAATGAAACATTTTTATAAGAAAATCTCGATTTTGCAATTACCATTTTAAACATGTTTTCAGTTTCTTGTTATGGAAAAAAAAAACACAATATATTGAGAAGAAAAAAAAAGTGCTAAACATAAGCCCCACCCACCCACCCTGTCTCAGTTGTGGCGCTTTTTCTTTATTCGTCGTTAGTCAAGAGGGGCGGAGCTTAATTGCAAAATGCATATTTCCATAACAAAAATTTACCATTTTAAACGTGTTCGATGTTTCTAAGAATAAAAAAATCATCGCAATCGAGACAGGGTGGGTGGGCGGGGCTTATATTTTGCCCTTGTTTTTCTTAACACACATAGTATTTTTTGAACAACCCGATACTCAAAAACATGTTTTTAATTTATTGTAAAGAAGTAATTTGCATTTAAGCTCCGCCCCCTTGGTTCACAGCGAATAAAAAAATCTTCACAAATGAGTAAGGGCGGGTGGGCGGGCTTACGTTTTGTCTTTTTGTTTTAATATATGTGTAGACGTTTTTTGACAATATGAAACTTAAAACTGTTTAAAATGAAACATTTTTATAAGAAAATCTCGATTTTGCAATTACCATTTTAAACATGTTTACAGTTTCTTGTTATGGAAAAAAAAACAATATATTGAGAAGAAAAAAAAGTGCAAAACATAAGCCCCACCCACCCACCCTGTCTCAATTGTGGTGCTTTTTCTTTATTCGTCGTTAGTCAAGGGGGGCGGAGCTGAATTGCAAAATGCATATTTCCATAACAAAAATTTACCATTTTAAACGTGTTCGAAGTTTCTAAGATTAAAAAATTCATCACAATCGAGACAGGGTGGGTGGGCGGGGCTTATATTTTGCCCCTGTTTTTCTTAACACACATAGTATTTTTTGAACAGCCCAATACTCAAAAACATTTTTTTAATTTCTTGTAAAAAAATAGATATTTTGCAGTTAAGCTCCGCCCCCTTGGTTCACGGCGAATAAAAAAAATCATCACAATTAAGAAAGGGCGGGTGGGCGGGCTTACGTTTTGTCTTTTTGTTTTAATTTATGTGTAGACGTTTTTTGACAATATGAAACTTAAAACTGTTTAAAATGAAAAATTTGTACAGGAAAATATCGATTTTGCAATGACCATTTCAAACATGTTTTCAGTTCTTTGTTCTGGAAAAAAAAAACAATATATTAAGAAGAAAAAAAAATGCAAAACATAAGCCCCACCCACCCACCCTGCCTCAATTGTGGCGCTTTTCTTTATTCGTCGTTAGTCAAGAGGGGCGGAGCTTAATTGAAAAATCCACACTTCCTTAACAAAAATTTATCATTTTAAACGTGTTCTAAGTTTCTAGGAATAAAAAAATCATTACAATCGAGACAGGGTGGGTGGGCGGGGCTTGTATTTTGCCCCTGTTTTTCTTAACACACATAGTATTTTTTGAACAGCCCGATACTCAAAAACATGTTTTTAATTTCTTGTTAAGAAATAAGTACTTTGCAGTTAAGCTCCGCCCCCTTGCTTCACAGCGAATAAAAAAAAACATCACAAATGAGAAAGGGCGGGTGGGCGGGCTTACATTTTGCCCTTTTGTTTTAATATGTGTAGACCTTTGACAATATGAAACTTACAAGATGAAAAATTTTCAAATGTTTCAAAAAATTATGAAAAAAATCATGGAAGTAGATTTAGACTTGAGGAGCCAGTTTTGGTATCAATACATTGATATTTCTCCTGTTTTTGTAACTGTTGCATAAAAAACGATTTAGTAAAAATTTTGAGCTACTAAACTTCAAATTTAAAAAATCATATTTTTCAAACCGGTGTTCCTATTTTCATGGAGTTTGATTTTTCTATTAGCCCTAATCTTTTTCTATATTAGAAAAAAACTACATCTTCCTGGGTGGCGCAGTTTTTCCTGGACGAAACCGGAAGCGTGATCATGTATCAGGAACTCAAAATTTTCCAGATCGACGATATAATTCCGGTTATTGGGGTCTAGAGGCCTTTAAAATTTACAGAGATTGTGTCCTCTGATTCTTAAACTTGAACTAGCCAAGTTTCGTACATTTTTGCGTTCTATTTTGAAAATCGTGATTTTTGTCCTCTTGCTTTTTTTCGATTGTTAACAAAAAATGTTCAAATGTTTCAAAAAATTCTGAAAAAAATCGTGGAAGTAGATTTAGACTTGGAGGAGCCAGTTTTGGTATCAATACGTTGATATTTCTCCTGTTTTTGCAACTGTTGCATAAAAAACGATTTAGCAAAAATTTTGAGCTACTAAACTTCAAATTTAAAAAATCATATTTGTCAAACCGGTGCTCCGATTTTCATGAACTTTGATTTTTCCAGTAGCCCTAACCTTTCTCTGTATTAGAAAAAATCTACATCTTCCTGGGAAGCGGAGCTTTTCCTGGACGAAACCGGAAATGTGATCGTGTATCACAAACTAAAAATTTTCCAAATCGACGACATAATTCCGGTTATTGGGGTCTAGGGCCTTTGGAATTTACATAAATCCTGCCATCTGATTCTGAAACTTCAACTAGTCAAGTTTCGTACATTTTTGCGTCGTGTTTTGAAAATCATAATTTTCGTCTTTTTGCTTTCCAACTGTTAACATAAAAATTTTTCAAACGTTTAAAAAAATTATGAAAAAAATCATGGAAGTAGAGTTAGATCTGGAGGAGCAAGTTTTGGCATCAATACGTTCATGTTTTTTCTATTTTTGCAACTATTGTACAAAAGACGATTTATGAAAAATTTTGAACTACTAAACCTCAAGTTTCAAAAAATCATATTTGTCGAACCAGTGCTCAGATTTTGATGGAATTTGAATTTTTGAGAAGCCCCAACCTTCCTCTTTAGTGAAAAAAATCCACGTCCACCTGGGAGGCCGAGTTTGTCCTGGACTAAACCCGAAGTATGATCGTATAATGTGAACTCAAAATTTTCCAAATCGTCGACTTAATTCCGTTCATTGAGGTCTGAGATCTTAAAAACGTACAG